CAACTACCTTTACACTGAGTTCTTGCTGCAACCGTGCTGAAAACCGACTGGTTTCAACAAAAATCCAAGTGAGACTGCCACACTGGGAAATCAGCATCGGAATCCAATGGTTCTCTTGTAACACAGCAATGCACGTCAAAGCTGGGCCCGACAACATGTCTCTGGTTTTCTGTACCGCTGCCTCAGTGGGGAGGTTCCATACTTCCGTCCAAACCGGATGGCGACATTTGGCTGACAATTGGTCAAGGTGGAAAGCCATCTCATCGGAGCCAATAGCTTCTCCAGTCCTTTGCAATGCAGGTGGTACCCTACCAATGTCAGGGAACAAGGGCCCTGGGCTGGCACTCTGGTCAATGGCAGTAGGTGAACACCCTTGGTCATCAGGCATTATAGGGAGTGGCCTGGATTCCCATCCTCCTTTCCACCCCCACAGGTGAGGCACTGTAGGGGGTCTATGGTCAATTGTGTCAGCAAACTTCTGTTTCATTTTCCAACTTCTGTCCCTCAATTGCTGGTCAGTTTGTGGCAAAGGAGTACGAAGCACCACATGCGCAAGGAAACTAAGGGCCATCGCTCCACACAAACCTGTCTCATGGATCGGAGTGGGGACCCTGTGAATGACACAGTCCAGTCCCAAGTCAGCTGCCATCTCAAACAAGGCTGCATCAATACCACTGGTGTCCACATCATGGAAATGAAAGGTATGGCAATGCAACGCATGTTCCTTAGGTGAAAGCCAAAAGGGGATCCAGTGTTGGTCAAGACATGCAGCAAAGATTACATGGCACATGTGTTGGCGCAATTGAATCTCATCCTGCCATTTGCGGATTTCAAAAAGGTTTCCAGCAAGCCAATGCGCAACAGTCAGGGGGGGAATATGGACAAACTGGCGGACAACCTCTTGACTGGAAGTAGGGATCCTACGGTGAAATTCCAGCACATGTTCAAGGTGAAACAGAATCTCATCGTCTGCCATTGCATGTCCATGGGACGTGACCGCAGCAAGTCTCTGCTGACGTAAGTGTGAACGTTCCTCACTAGGTGGCAACGCAGCTGGGCATGTGCAAAACATCGAAAATACTGGCCAGCAAGCCATGCTCTCGGCTTTGTCTTGTCCAAAGCAGCACCAGTTGGATGGTTCCTTTTCCTCACATGAAGCAGATGCGGCTGAGTCCGCGGAGTCTTGTTGTTCTGAACTATCAGGCTCAGTTTCATCGGGCATTATAGGGAGTGGCCCGGATTCCCTTGTTTGCATGTGCACATGTTGGCTTCGCTGTACATCTTCGGGCAATCTAGGGAGTGGCCCGGATTCCCTTGGTCCCTGGCTGGAAGAGGCGCTTCCACTAGCTGGAACTGCATGGGTATCTGGCACCCTCGGAGGTCCATTACCCCAAACCACGGGTTTCGGTGTACTGGCAACCCCATAGAGATGTGCAACAAATGAAGCACGCATGTTGGTGTGAAGTGTGTGCAACTCTTGTTTGGTCAACGGCAATGGCATTCTGGTGATAACATGTGCGAGGAAGGCCATGGCATAGGCTCCACATTTGGTGTCATCATGTACCACTTTGGGTATGCGGTGCAAGGTCATCTCTCTAAACCCCAACCGTCTGGCAAGTGCAAGCAGGATGTTTTCAATGCGTTCTCGACTGGCATATTCATCATTGAAAGTATGGACCTGAAGCATCTGGCCATCAGGCGCCAACCATAGAGGAAGCCAGTGTTCGTCCACTGCAACTGCTGTGACGACGTGTTGTCCATCATCATACACATGGGGGTGACTTTCAGCCCACTTTTCGGCTATGACATGCCCTATGTTTTCCCAACATGTGAAAACCAGTGGTTCTAGGAAAGCAAACGTGCCACGCCAATTGACTCTTTGTGGTTGATTAGTGACCAGGCGAATGATGTGAAACCGAATTTCATCGTCAGCCATTGCAAAACCATGTTGGTTCATCAAGTCAATTCTTTCATCTCTGGAGACCGAAATTGCCTGTAAATCCAACCCAGGTTGGGAGGTACTACGATCACCAGCTCCCCACACCCATGGACGACGGGTAATCTGGCATGGTGTGATCAGTTGGATGAATTGGTGTCGCATCTGGCTGTGGACATACGCCGCCTCTTCAGGAGAAGTGGGCAATATGCTCCCAAAAATCATACTCTTCAAAAACGTGATGGCCAGCGCTCCACAGAGTGTGGATGAAAAGAACAGTCTTTGCTCTCTACAAATCAAGCGATCTTTGAATCCAAGGGCCCGTGCAAGCCTGAGGGTCAACGCTTCGAGTCCCTCATGTTTGGCCGTAGGACTATCCCACGTGTGTACTTGCAAGGTGTCATTGACAGGTGTCATGAAAACAGGGATCCAATGCTGGTCAACTAAAACAACCGTGATGATGGAGACTGAATCACGGAAAACTTCACAGTGTTCCTTGGCCCAACATTCACAATCAAAACCCTTGCCTTGAATCCAAGTGGTCATGAGAAGAGGATCCAAAACCAAAAGTGAAGGAGCTTTCAACCCTTTCTTAGGAAACATCTCATTGGAGCAATTGACCAAATTGTGAAGGTGAAAACGGATTTCATCATCTGCCCAGAAATCAGCCTGCCTTTCCAAAACACCCAAACGATCATTCACTTTGAGGAACTGGCGCCGCACCGACCACAATTGTTGGGGTGAATTGATTGTGGGTGATTTGAGGCAAAGGAATTGTTCACCATTCAACCCTAACAGTGGGCCAGCATCAAGCCACTGGTCTTCCGAAACTTGTGATGGGTGAGGAATGAGACATTCCCCAACATCATACTTCACGGATTTCCTCGGCGGTGAAGCCACTGGCACGTCTTCAATGGGATCAACTTTCCATTCAATGGTTGGTGAAACTCCTTCCTTTTCTGAAACTGGCATCTTCTCACTACTGCAAGTGTCAACCTCAGCAATGAGTGTGATGCAAATGATTTGCCCCACTTCCATCACATGATCCAGTGCAATTGGCATACCATTCATCTTGATAGCGTCAACCTGCAATTGTCCAACCAGCTTTTGGTGTGCATGAATGAAGTCACCAACCGTGGAGCTACACTTTGGCTGAAACCGAATGGGTGAGTCACCGGTGCCTTCAAAAATGACAGTGCATGAATCACAGTACATACAACTTTCCGTGGTGTCATCATCAACAATGGCAGGGCACTCATACCATGGGGTAGGAGTCAGGTCAGCATCAGGGACTGTCACTGGCACTTCGGGCAGCTGCGTGCGGATCAAATGATCCAGGATTGCTGCAATGCTCAGGGGGGCAGGGATCGCCCCTTTCCATCTAGGCGGGTACATGAGTTCTTCAAGAGACCAGTCATGTTGGGTCTCCCAGAAACGAACCATGGCCAACAGTTTGGTATCGTCAATGTTCTCATGCATCGGTTTCCAGACCTTTCTACTCCTCATCAATACCCATGAGCGATAAGCTTGGATCTGTGAATCAGGGTCAAAATGATGTTCTCTACCCATCAACATGGAGAACTTGGCAACCACAAAAGCAAACACCCAAAGCGCTTGTAGGGGGGCAGCAATTTGACCTACGGCAGACAGGACAAGTCGTGGGCAAGCCTGGAAGTCCAAGACTGGGTCCATAGTATTAAGGCACATTGCTTCATTTGGGTGTATATGGCGGATAGTGGAATGCCCATCTTCTCGGCTGGCAGACCTCACCAAGCATCCATGCAAACCCTTGGCAGCTAACCTAGAGGCAGAAAGAGGGTATTGGCGGCATCCACATGGACATGGTCTAAGTTGGCTTCCCCATGCATGCAACGCACATGGTGCAACTCCGTTTTCATTAAGCATGTTTCTACCATGGTCATTGGTGTCAATGCCAAATGCCTCAAGTTCAGTGGCATCAAGGGTGAGTTCCTTTTCATCTTCTTCAGCCCACAAAAGTATTGAGGGGATGACTTGCTTTACCTGCCCTACATTGGTCAATGGTGACCACGGATGCATTTCAATGGGTCCAAGCTCTGGCGCGGTGAGCAGCCACCATGCACGCTGTCGCCTACAGGGCCAAACTGCATCCAAGCGGAGGTCAATGTGAGAGCAGGTGAAACCTGTGCACATCTGAAAATGCTTCAGTTCTTCCCGTACAAAATTGTCCTGGCCAGCTGGTGAAACGCACTCCAGAATAATGACCTGAGACTGGAGATAGAAAGCAGCGGCCAGGGTTTTCGGTAAACAGGATGCTCTGGCATCTTCATGGCTTCGTTCATCCCCTAAACGGGAAAAGGGCTGGCAGCTGAAACCCGATGTCAGGACTTTGGCTCCCTTTGACACACTCCAGATCTTTTGTAAAACCTGTTTGTCCCCAAAGTCCCCATGAATGGTTGGTGCACCACTAATTTGGGAGTAGAGTTCTAGCATCTTCTCATTAGCATCCACTGCCACAGACACTTCGAAACCAGCCGCGACTGCTCCCTGTGAGAGACCACCAAACCCTGCACAAAGGTCAATGGTGCGGTGCAAATTATCCCAGGTTAACTTCTCATGCCCCAAAACTTTGGTATGAGACTTGGCAGCCACCTTAGGAACCGGATATTGTTGCAGCATGCAAGCACCAAAAATTGTGTAGGAATCATACCCTTCAGTCAACAAACCATCAAAGTGAAACAGTTGCTTGGTGTTGGTGACCCTCATCAGGTGTGCTTCATGTTCATGGTCAAACACAACCAACCGGCAAACGATGTCTATTGTCGCTCCATTGTCCAGCAACGCAAAGTCCATGGGATAGGTCCTAGTCATGGCAAGATAGGAGTGAAACGGTCAGCCCAGGGTCGGTAGGAACGGCCGCACTGCTGGTAAGTCTGGGCCACACGGCTGTTCCAAACCACCAACCAGTCAAAGTTGTTTCACATGTGTTTTCAGTATTCTTCAATTGTTGATGGTGAATTCAATCTTTGAACAGCTTTTGAAGTACAAACCACCAACAGTTTTCGGAGTTGCTGAGTACCCGCGCGGTATGCGCTGCTGCCTACGGGTTTATGGCCCGCTGAAATACCGTGGATGGAAGGGTCGTTTTTGCATGGCCAATTGGAACCCAGTTACATATTATTACATATTAACCATCTGGACATAGATGCTCATGATGTTTGTCCTTTTTTGTAGGTGAGACTATCTTAACATCTTCAGAATGGTTTACCCACCATCATTGGGATCTAGCCATTGATTACCCTAATCTTACGCTCAGCAGGTAGATCTAACCCAACTCAAGCAGTCAGTGCTGTCGTGATGATGTTTGAAGGTTGCTCCTTTCGGCTTAAGTCAACAACCTGTTGGGTAATATTGGAAAATCATTAATCTATAATATTCTATAATCATATCTAATTGGGATTGTCAGTTCATGGACTATGATGATCCCAAAAATATTGGTAATATGACCCAGAAAAACTTATCATTCACCATCATGTCTTCATGGCATCACCATACCTTTGACAATTAAAACACAACAAAACATGAAAAATATACCTATACACATTCTTGAAATGATGGGATGATTTTCCATTATTTTCCGATTTATTGCAATAAATCATACCATAATCATGATTGAACATCATACCAATATTCCAATTCATTGCAATTGATTTTCCTAGGAACCCATCAAGCAGCGTTTTCGAACCTGCTCAGCCGGACTTGGGAGATCCAGATGGCATTGTTTTGGTGACCAAACGAATATCGTAGAACTGAAGCTGGAAACATGATCACTTAAAGCTATATAAGGTATATATAGGTATATATGATATACAACAATCAATATAGGTATAATTAGGTATATATGTTTTTGCTTATAATGATATTGATTGACATGATATTGAAAAAACTTGATTGTATATTTGATATTAGATGCTATACAACTGCTATACATATAGAAACATGTAGAAATATATAGAAATAGAGAAACATGATTGATGCTATTGATATTGACGGATTGTATGAATTGAAATGTAACTTTACCTTTTAATGTCACTTACTGTAACACACCCCAAACAATGATCAATGATGCCTTTGATCCACCCAACGGAGAAATCATCCACGCGCAGCGCGGACACCTGGTTTCCTTCAGGAATTGGAGAGCTCTCTGCCATTGCTCTCCTTCCGCGGCAGCTCAACTCGCTGGTAAATACAATAAATAATTACCATATATACATATATATATATATGAACAAACAGAAATATATAAATCAGTTTAAGAGTAATCCAACTAATTCCAGCTAACATATTTCATAAATATATACAGTATAATTATATAACTAATGTAACTATAGTAGAAGCCAATACAATTAACCTAACGTATATACCATGTCTCAAACCTGTCGTGCTGAGCAGCATTGGAGGATCATGCCACGTTTGATGATATCCCACTGACCCAGTTTTGGTTGGTCAAACCCCAGTGTTGCTTGGTCTAGTCAATTTCCCATGTTGCTTGGTGAAGTCATATTTAGTCCCAATATGTTTTGTTTATAACTCATATTTTTTTTGGTTGAATCAAAATTGTTTATTGTTTAACGGATCAGGTTAGAATCCCAAGTTTGTCGCTTAATCAACCCACCCTTCACCAAGGTTTTTCCGAATTCCCTCGGGTTGTTGATGAACCCCCCCTGGGGGCATCATTTTGCAATCTCAAATTGGATAAGTCCCAATTCTTCTTACTTCAACCGTCTAAAATTTTGCCTGGTAAAACCCATTTTTGGTCCCCCATCCAAATGCCCATCCGAATGCCATTTAATATATACTGAGGAAAAACGTGAACAAGCAATGCAAACTTCGGCTGCAACAACTTCCGACGCTGTGGTTGGCAACTACTTCAGCTTCGATGCTCGAAATTCCGACTATCGTCTGCTTTTTGGAAAATGCATTCAAAGGGTAGCACGTGCCAAGTCATGCTCCCCTGCATGATCAGCATCTGCAAGCAGTCATAGCTGACATGAATAGCGACATGAATGGCGACATGAGTAGCGACATGAATAGCGACATGAGTAGCGACATGAATAGCATCTGAAAGGCGATCCTTATTACAGTTGATGTAAGCTACTACTCTATAGAGAGCTACATAGAGCTACAATCACACTCGATCATTTAACCTTGAGGCAAGACTTTGAGCTCTGACAGCAGATAAGATGCTGCTGGTACTTATGACAAGATATGTCCCTTTGTCGATGGATCTTGTGGCTACGCAAATTCACCATGTTCATCCCATTTCTGCTAGTAAAACATGTTAAAACATCTTGAATCTCCATTCATCCAGATATAGCCAGATATAATCACCGCCAGTCTGTAGTCAAAAAAAAAAATGCTGGTTATGGTTGTTTTCCATTTATAGCCAAAAACCAAAGGATTAAATGGAATATAAATGGAAAACATAATTGGATATAATCAGATATTATGACATATAGCTACATCCAGTCGGTTGGAGAGATAGTCAGATATATCCAGATTCACTGATCACGGGCTCCACCATTTTCCCCATCTCCTCGACTCAGCGCGCCCAGCAGCGCCCCACGCAGCACGCCGGAGCTTCTTCCGGCGCGGTGGAAGGTGTCCAGCGCCAGGCGCCAGCGCGACCTTGAGATAAAGTTAGCAGTGGTTACCGCAGTTATCCTATGGTAATCTAATACATTCTAATACATTCTAATACTATATATATATATAGCTCTTGGAAATCACTTGTTTGAAGGATTTGAAGGTAAGTCTGTAAATTATATGTAAATCAATGTAAGTCATCTCTAAATGAGGAGTTGTCATCTATTTTCCATAGCTAAACTCACAGAAACAGTGGCCATGGACTGCAGCAACTCAGCAAAGTACCTTCCTTTATAGATCCTGTCTGTATCCTCCGGTTTCTCACATCGGAGCAATGTTTTCATAATCCACTCGATTGCTCCTGATTTCTCAGCGATTTCGATTTCCCGATTCGACGGTATGTTAATAATCCAATCGACGATTGGAAGCATGCTATGGAAATATTCACGCGACTCATGTTCTACTATTATCTTCTTTTAAATACAGTAATACTTCCAATAAAAATGGAGTAATACCATTCCAACTATGACTAATAGACTTTGCTCATACTTGGACCACTTTTTCACCACTCCCAAGCTTCACACGTGGATCCACTAAGATAGCTATGGAACTCTGTGGGTTTGGCTATCAAAATGATCTACAAGTGTGTTTTTTTCCATATTTATGTTGGCTTGTTGGATGGTATGACTGGTTTGTCAATATTTATGTCCACTACATATCCCCTGTCCGGGATGCATAGACCCTACTTGGTAGTGGGGCAAAACTACGTCAAGGACCCTTGGGGCTGTTTCTTGCGGGATTCCAATGTTTCACTTGGTAAAAGCACGCTGTTTAATGGTCAATTGTCCAATTTCACCAAAGTGAAATCCCTCCCATCACTCCGGGATATCATCGTTGCCGGGGCTGTCTGTGGATAGACGCAGGATGACACAGCTGTGCTTCAAATATGATCAAAATCACCCCGAAAACAGGAATGGTCATCCATCTCATAATGGGAACCCTTACAATTGATATATAAATCCCTGTTAACCGACTGATGGCCATCCACCAATATGGCTATACAATCCATCTTTTGGCCGGCACATACCATCATTCTGGGTATTTCTGAAATCCAGATAAATAATCGGATTATTTGCAATCAATCACCTTGCTGTTCTCCCTCTATAGTGATGGTCAGATCCCAAAATGGCCCAACTTTTCAGTCTCGGCTAGTGAATCATTACAATTTACCCATGCTGGTGGGTCAATTTGTTGAAGCCCCCTTCACACTACGTGACTTTCTCACTTCACAATTTACCCAGAGATTATGGATGAAACATTATGAAACCATTGAACATGGCCCTTTTTCAAAGATGATTTACTGATTAAAACATATTAAAACATGGTGCATAATGATATTTTATGGATGGGTACTATGATAATTCTTCCCCTCTTGATCATCGCCATCCCCATCTGCATTTCTAAGTCCTGGGTGGCCCCTGCAGTCGGCCGAAGTTGCCGATGACCGACAGGTAATGCTTCATCCATGGCTGGGATGCGACCCTTGAAATGAAGATGCGTAAAGGTTACCATATGTTACCATTGAAATAGATGTGGAATTCAGTCACCATTTCCAACACAAACAACCACCTTACTAAAAATCATACAATCATACGACTATAGAATCTTATAGAATCAAACATCAGCCCCACTTTTTTGTGGATATGTCTGCTCAAACCACCAGGTGTATTGGTTCATCAACTCCCTGATTTTATTGTTGCTGAATGAATGTTTTCTGATTGAGCCTGCCGTGCTGGCTAAACGATCCCGGCTTGCTGGTTGGTAGTGAAACCCCCATTGTTGATGACTCATAACCTCATAACCTCATTTGGTGGTTTCCTAAAATAGAAGTACCCCCAAATCATCCATTTATAGAAATAATTTGTTCATTACAAACCATCCAGCTATTGGGCTACCTTTATTTTAGGAAACCCCCATTTGTTTGTTAAGTTGAATGGTTTGTCGGATAGGAACATGTTCCATAAACCACCCAAAGGCCGATCCGTAGCATGGAGTAGTTCAAGCCGAGAGAGGGGTTTTTGCCTGTCATTGCCTATACCCCTTCAACAAAGGAGTCTAAAAGGTTATATATTTGAAATACACAGAATCATGGTTAAAGGACGATTTGCATTAAAATTCATTGCATTGCGATGTTGTTGTTCAAAGAGGTAACCAACCCACATACCCAAAATTCATCAGACAAAAAATGAGATGGAAATTCATCAGGGTTGATCAGGTTGCAATATAAATAGATACGAAAATGTCTGGTTGGTGGTTGAGCCACCCCTCTGAAAAATATGAGTTCGTCAGTTGGGATGATGACATTCCAAATATATGGAAAGTCATATAAAAGTCCATGGTTCCAGTCACCACCAACCAGTTTTACATACCCATTGGTAACGGAAACTAGGGTCAGTCCACCTATACCTATAATAATGGTTGGATATTAATGTTTGTTACCATTATGTTACCAATATTAATATCCACCAATGGTATATTATATATTAATATCCAACCATTATATATCAGTCCAACCATTGGATATTAATGTTTGCTGATCTTGTTTTCCAGGCGCCATCCCAAATCCCAAATGGGACGTCCCTTTTGTCGGGATCACCGGAATCACGATCTAGGATCACAAGAAATCTCACCAAGCCGGGCGCCCAGTTTTTCAGCCCAGATGCTCCAGGTTAATGATGGTTAATGATTAATGATGGTTAATGGGTAAATCATCTATATATCTGGTTGGTGGTATACCTACCCCTCTGAAAAATATGAGTTCGTCAATGGGAAGGATGACATCTCATATATGAAATGGAAAATAAAATTCATGTTTGAAACCACCAACCAGAATATATGCCCATTAGGACCTTGAAAATTACCCAAATGTAGGTCACGAATCTCTTCCCCATCTAGCCCAGGTAGCACAGCATGTATCTTACGACGTGTTTTTGGCGCTTGGTTCCAGTTTATATGTTTTAAACAATGCAGATTTCAAGCACATATCATCTGCTCGAGGCCAACCATTGATCATATCATATCCAATCATCAACTTTCTGAAAATCACCTTCCTGGAAGCATCTCCCACAAGATGCTTCCCCCCAGGTAAAAATTGCTGTATTAACCTCGATTTATCGCCACAACTGTTACACTTTATGGTGTTATAATTGCCATAAAACCAAGAGTCAATAAGAGTCAACCTACCCTCTGGTAATCAAACATGGCAATGTAAAATCCAACCATTGAGTCCGCTGGTTTTCGCATTTAAAACCTCCATAGGGCCATGTTTCACTGCCAGGGGCCGCACAGCATGGCTGGTTTTAATCTCCAGAAACCCTGGGTATGAACCTTCAAACCCTATAGTTATGAACCCTGAATTTCACATTAAAGTATATTATCATAGTTCTAATCTCCAACAAAACTAGTAACCCTAGTAACCCTAGTAAGTTCACCTATTTATAAACCAACTTATACTTCCTACCGGGCCACCCCCTCCCGACGGCCCAAAACATGGCCATTGCTGGGACCTCTTCGCTGATCTCGGGCTGGCAGAGCCGATCCAACTCCTGTGGAAGGGCGGATCCCGGGGTCAGAGGATTCTTGCTGCATTGGGGATATACCACAATGGTTATATATGTATTTATATATGTACGTGTATATATATATATATATCATAAATATATGATATTATATATGTATGTATATATATATATATATGCTACCCATCGAAAAAAAAATAGCAGTATCTGTAAAGAACACAATACAGAATACATACACCAACAACCCTCTATAAATGAAGGGTCTAATATGGTCTAATGTTATGTTTTCCTTTTCCAGGCACCTACTGGAAATCAGGAAATAAAATTGGAAAAAATAGAAGAGGAAGGATGGCAAAAAAAAACCTTAGGGAAAAAATGGTACAAGAATAAGAAAAGTGAAGGAACATCAATGTGAGAAACTTGCGAGGCACATAGGGGAAAAGGCGAAGGGGATCCCGGGTTACAACAGCTAACCGTCTTCCCAAAATTCAAAATTTAGGTTGAACCTACCTTACCTGCTTCTGTTTCATTGCTTTCAAAATCGTGAAAAACGGGTTTGCTGAAACTGATGAAGTAAAAAGTCGGATGTCTCCCATTCGACCACCACGAAGTCATCTCTGCATAGATCAACGTGGCATCTCTGCGTTTCCACTGATGGTAATGCACTGTTGGCAACAGACCGGAGACGCGGCAGGGTCCTGGACTCATCCCAGTTTCTCATCATATTCCCTCAGATACCATGGCTATGGCACAAAAATCATTAGTAACACACAGGTACATCCCCCTGCTAATCGAAGTCGGCCATGGGAACTCCAATATCAAGGGGGAACTCTATCGCTGGGAAAACCATCGAACCATGTTCGATTCCCACAGGGTAAATTATCCCATTAAGCCTCCATTTCTCTCATTCATATCCCATCAAAATCTCATGAAAATCCCTGAAAATCACTATAAAATCACTAGAAAATCACTATGAAATCACTATAAAATCACTATAAAATCACTAGAAAACCACTATAAAATCGCTATAAAATCACTAGAAAATCACTATAAAATCACTATAAAATCCCATAAAAATCACTATAAAATCACTAGAAAATCCCATAAAAATCACTATAAAATCTCAACAACTGTATTTGAACCGAGGGATATTTCCCCAGGATCAATGGTTCTTGGATGGTCTAAGACCAGCTCCTCCTGTGTGGTGATGCCAAAGGACACCAAATAATCACGGTCCTCCTGGAAACGCTGGTTTTGTGTGGGACCTTTGGGACAGGACCATGAAGCTACTAACATTGCCATGGAAAATCGATATTTCATGTATGATGGAAAAAATACCATGGAATTCATGGTATTTCTATGGTATTTCTATGGTATTTCATGGGATTTCTATGGGATTTCTATGGTATTTCTATGGTATTTCTATGGTATTTCATGGGATTTCTATGGGATTTCTATGGTATTTCGATGGGATTTCTATGGTATTTCTATGGTATTTCTATGGTATTTCATTGCTATGGAACTACGTTATACCATTGCTATGGTATTTCATGGGATATCATGGGATTTCGATGGGCCATTCCCCCATGGCACTGTGGGCCATTTTCCCCCCGCACGGCCCGAAACGCACCTTGTTGGCCACCGCAGTGCGCGGATGGCACGTCACGCTGCGGAGGCGCACCTTGTTGCGGTTTCCGCGGCGCTTTTCGCGTTTTTTGGGGTTTACCCCACTTTATAAGTGGTGAATAACCCATGGTTATAGTGGTTAATAGTGGGTGATAACCATGGTTAATAGTGGGTGATAACCATGGTTAATAGTGGTTAATAGTGAATTACCCCATCTATAAGAGGATGATAACCATGGTTATTAGTGATTAAATGGGCTTATCCATCTATAAATGGGGTAATCCCCACTGATAACCCATGGTTATCATCCACTTATAGATGGGAGCCACTCGGCCTTGGCAATGCTGCTTTTGGGGAATGGCCAACCTTGGATATCCCATAACTTCTGATGTGCATTCGTTAAGGTTGATCCAGAAACAAAGGAGCAGCTAGCAACGTTTAGCCTCCAGTAATCAAACGTGGCAATGATGCTAATGTGTATAAAATGCCCTATATGCATTGAGGTTTCAAGTTGTAGATAATGAGAAATTAATCTATAAATGCTGGAATTTTCACTGCCACCTTTCATTACCAGAGGGTATATTAACTATTGCCCATCCACCAACCATTCACCACGGTTCCAGCAGCCAAGGTGCCAAGAGCTTCTTCAGCGCACGCATGTCTGGCGAGAGTGGTAAATTGTCAAAACTTCAACCCCCCCTGTGGAACTCATTTACCCACGATAGGTTGGAGCAACATTGTTCAAGATCTTACCTTACATATCATATTGATGATATTATGTCTGTATATGAACAGAACTATGAGAATAAAATAGTTCACCTCATACTTACCAGCTCCTATGTGGTTCTATCTCTTTTGACTTTGCCATAACCGTGACCCTCTGGCAATTTCATATTGCCAATGGAACATTCCAACTTTTTCCGAGAAAATATGAGAGGATAGTCAACTGCTGATCCCAACTGGGGTGATTTTATCATATTTTATGGGATTTTCATGGATTTAGATGGATTTACATCATCCTAACTAGGTGAAAATCTTCAGATTCGACAATACCCCCAAATCTATTGGTCTGTTCCCATGTTCATCCATGTTCATCCATTTTCCAGATTGGAACTGCATTTTTGTTGGGGTAAACCCCCTATTTTCAAATCAACCCATTCTGCCCCCGCTGTTCTGTAGCCTCGAGACATGGAGACTTTCTGCAACTGCAAGATTCTCTTGTACCAACTCACCTGGCAAGTCCCGTCCACATCTCCTTTCATGTGATTTCAAGTCTTACCAAGGCTGTGGTTGAAGTTGACGCATGTTCAAGTCATTCCAATCCAGACTTTCCGTGGTCTGTGAATTTTTCAGATATCAAAAATCCAAATCCTGGGTTCCTCTTGAAAACCGTTGATGCAATTTCGGTGGGCTTTTCAAGGCCAATTTTAGGCTTTAGAATACTGGCCGCTGCTTAGATGTTCACCCGGTCACTCCTAGGATGTTTACACAATTTGCACATGGATCAGCAGCCAACAATTAATTCGTCGCCATGGGTCAGATATTAGGCCTATGGCAATGGAACCAAGTCAGTTAACCCATGTTAACTCCGATCGATGCCCAGATGCCCCGATAGATCCCTTCCAAAGAGGGACCTGCAATGGGGTGGACGGCAGCCACACGTCGTGGAAGATTTTGCGCGGCAGCCGAATCACCTTCGGAACGACGCGTCTTACCGGGTGGATGTTAGGAAAGAGTGACTGGCAGCAAAAAATGTTGGGGAAGATGTGGGTCTCTATTTTTCAACTGGAAAAAAAGGGAGGAGCAACAATGCTGGAAAACACCTCTAAATGATGGGATCCCAATTTATGAATATAGATCCAATACCATGCCAATTTTAGGGGTTGCATTGAGTATAGTAAATCTTACGCCATAATCTTCCCCCACCTATTGCATGTCACAAAAAACACGCCCAACGCACAAATCATCAAATCCAGCCCTCAATTCACCTCCTCCTTTCGTCGACGGAGCATCACCATGCCCTGCCATGAGTTGGGAAAATTACACACCTCCTACAAAGTATATATGTATATAATGATTCTTAGGCTCTATGAGGCTCTATGTTAGTTGGGGGATGGTTAATTATCCACAATATTGGACTGATGATTATTTTTCAACTGATAGCAAATTGGGAACTGGGAAACATGGTGATTCCTTGCACTTGGGTGTGTCTCAAAATGGGAACATCTGGTGTATATTACATCAAGTATTGAAGTGCTCAACCGAGGTTTATCCACATCTTGCCACCATGTTGCTGGTGAAATTCCTGTGTTTCTTGGTTATTAGGTCATGTCAAGTATCTCCGTATTTCACCTTCAACATTGGAGTTGGCATAATAGCTGGACTGTGAAAACAACATCTGGTATAATCTTGTACCTACAGTCTGCACAAAAAAGATAAGACCCAGGTGAATATCCCCAAACTTAACGGAACAGACTCTATTGATGTAAGTATGGAGTTGAATACTTGGTGGTTTGTTGGTCCCTTTCTAAAAGTGAATGCATCCAATCCGAAAAAAATGTTAAGAAAAGTGCCTTGATTCATTGATATAATCTATTAAGATCCATTAAGAATATCTAGCCAATCTTGAGGTGCTCACTTTTGATCTATACGCATATCTAGCCTCCTCAGCTACTCAGCGATTTCGAGATTCTTACCATCCTTGGCCTCAAAAAGATGCTCCAAAATATCAATGGCCAGATGCTTGACGAACATCACATCTCCATGTTTGATAATTCTTGTGAATCATAACCCAAAACAAGAATCTGGCAACTGCCAAGAGATGCTTGCCCTGCACCATCCATGGCCAAATACAAACTGTTTAGCAATACTATTCCCATTGCAATTTCTCCCGGAATCGCATACATCCAACAATCTCGCCATCCTTGGATTCAAAAAAACTGTTGTTAGATTTTCGAACATCTATAAATCTCCCAATCCATTGTTATAATGGATACTGTGTTAAATACTGGATATATCCAACAATCTCCTCAAACACTTTGTGAGTTCTATAGTTCTATATATCCAATACACGAATTTCTGGTCACTGCCGGACACCGAAAACCCGACTCAGCTCAGCACCAAGATGTGTCGGATCTTTTGCACCTCAAGGCGACGGAGAAAACTGGGTTTCTCAACACAGATCTTCCAGTGGATCGTTAAACAAAAAAATATGTTGCAAACAAACTATATATCAAATATGATTTCCTGGGGAAAATGATAGTTGTAGAATATATTGACCCATCTCCTCATTTTGGTATAGCGTTGTCATCATTTGCCCGGTGGTTGTCAATGACCCTTGCATTCATCAACCAGCAGTAGGAAAAAAAACACAACATCAATGCAATCCATGGTTGTTGAAGTACTGACAGTTCACCCACATTTTGATACTTTAACTCCCATGTTCTTTGCTTCAAACATGTTAAACCAGCATTTTCCTTACTTGAACCCACCATTTCCCCGCCATTTTCGCTGTTGTTTCACCACCTTTTCGCTGCCATTTTCGCTGCCATGGCACCAAGATGTGATCCACCTTCGCCTTTGCTGTCTCATCCATGGCCTGGTGGGGATTCAATAATGGGAATGGAATGGCTATACATTGGGATAGATATATATATATATATATAATGGGATATTGTATATATATATATATGTAAATATATATATATATATAGCCAGCTTAATATGTATAATCATGTGTATATATGTATATATTGATTATATATGGTTTAGGTCCAGGTTCATCAATCACTATTCATGGCCGTATGACCATATCCTTTGATGTGGATATGTACCTGCCTTATCCTGCCTTGGTTTACATGTGGGATGTGCATCACCAAATACATGGAGTATCCCCAGTTTGAAACCGAAACATGATCAGCAAGCAGATTTTGGGGATACCCTTTTTTGAGATATACCCTGTACTTTTTTGCTTGACCAAAATCTAGCCAATACCTTGTGCTATTAAAGTCATCCCTCTTTTTAGTATCATGTGTAAAAAAGGGCTATATAATGTAGACCTCCTGAGCCACTTTGTTCGATTTTCAAACGGTCAGATGGACAGACCATCGTCTGAATCCTCTGGGTGGTTCTTGAAATAAAACACATCTGGAAAGTGCTGAACAGCAAGACAATCTGATCATATCAAAACCCAAGTAAAAACGCAAGTCCATGTCCTGATTTTGTGGCATGTATGTATGCAATGACCCAGCACAAAGTCCAACCTCGATTCTGAAAACTGCAATGTTTCAACCTTGCCTTGTCTTGAAGTTCTGGCAGTTGAATGGCGTTCTCGAACATCTGCGGAGCGGAAAGGCAGCAGTGACTGGACACTGATTCAAGGCTTGATATTCTTCCGCATTTCATGGAGATATTCAAGGACCAAATGTCTGTTCTGTTTGGCATTTCACCTCGCTATTTACTCAATGTACCATCTATAAAAGCATCACTGAAAGATCATTTGTCTTTTGCTGAACAAGCGTATTTGCGACTTACAAGTATAAGCTTCCATATTTGAGCCATGAAAAATATTCCCCTTATCCCATCGCATTATACTGGTTGGTTGATATGGGTTATAGTATGTGTAATAACCCATAGTAGGGAAACCTATCAACCAACAATCCCAGTTAGTCGGGAAACCTCTCAATATCTTGATTATCTTAACTGGTATAATATGGTGTAATTAGGACTAGCTTATAATATCTCCCCGTTAAACATCATGACACCAGGTACCCGTAGCATAGTCCTCTATAATTAACATATAATTAATCAATCATAAACCTTGATTAGTACAATTAGTATTAGGTCCCAATGATCCCCCATTAAACATCATTAAACTACACTAATTTATAGTAACCAATCCGCAATTGCAGCGGTTGCACCTCAGACTCCTTGGCCATGACGTCCGGCCATAAGAACTTCAACAAGGCGAAGAGTTCCCCCAGGTTGTTCTGCGGCGCGTGTGGGCGCAGCCCCGCAACTTTTCGTGGGTGAAACTGATCGTGTTTGTTGGGGGCTAATCAAACTAGCCAAACCGAGGTTTGATGAAGGAGGATGATTCATAAGTTTGGAATAGTTTGGATAGTTCACTAACTCATAGTCTGTTGAAAATGGGATGTAGTTGGACCACGGTGCACAATTCGCCGTGGTAAAATATGCATTTTTTGGCCAGTGGAGGGTTTACGCTGGGGTGGGGTGGGGTGGGGGGGTGTATTAACGTCCTGACGACCACGTCCTTGATATTACGTCGACAAGACATGTCGAGGTAACTTGGAAGACGTTGTTGATGCTACGTTGATGACGTGGGGTGGGGTGGGGTGGGGTGGGGTGGGGGTGGGGTGGGGTGGGGGGTGTGTTAACGTCCTAACAACCGAAAGGTAAAGATGCCAAAGAGTTTCCAGGTGCATGTGATGGCACTAGGTGGAGTGGTGCGCGGAGAACACAAGACGTATGTAGCTTTGCCCACTCCAGTTGTCTCCTTTCCAGGAGAACGTCCCCCGACAGAGAACTTGCATCAGGTCCACGAGTGTAACATTTTTAAGCACATTCAAAAACGAGGCACTTGTGTCTTCAGCGATGGTAACATGGCCTGGCGCAGTGTCTGTTACAAGAACAACATTCGAAATCAAGAAGTTGTTCACCAGGTCAAAGAGTTCACCCGTTCAGTTCAGCATGGCAAGAAAAACCTGTCGACGCTGGCGGGCACACAGTGTGTGGATCGAACTTGGAGAACCCTCAAGCACTACCTGCCCAAAAAGAAGTTGATGAAAGATCCACACACAAAGTCCCTGTGTCCCTTTTTCGAACACCAAGTCTACGCATGGGCTTGGCGTAAGAACTTGGGCCAGTTGTCTGCAAAGATCTTTTTGCGGCAGCTCACCAAAATTTGGTGAACAGCACAGTAGTTTACTCGCATTTTGCAGAAGAGAAAAAACAGAGTTTTTGCCAAGAGTCACCGCAAGCGAAACAAAAATCACAATGGAATTTCAATGATTTCAGCATCGCATGGAACTCATCAAATGGCCACTTTCCCCCACGGCGAAATATGAGCCGTGAACCTAGTTACGTACCCACACACTCATTTGCCTATTAGCCACTTACGATTCCTGGTACGCAGATCCCCAGTCACTGCTTCATTGGTTATTCGTTCACCCATTAGTGTTACTTTGATCCCCAAAAAGAATCGAAAAGTAAAATCTTGTAAGATAGTGGTAAAACATTGTAAAACTATACTTTTCCATCTTTTTGGGGCTTGCTATAAATTCTCATTCAACAATAATCCACAACAAATTCCCAAGAAGTTCTAAGGTATTAAAGCACCATTTTGGCCAATCAAATCACTCATAAAATTCTCATGTATGGAAATTCCCATTGTGGCACTTAAATCCCACTAAATCTCGGATCCACCTCAACCCGCCCCATCTCTACCGCAGCTCCTGCAAGGGCGTTCCGGTGAGCAGGAACCGCGCCGCGCACGGCACAGTGTCCATCACCTGCGCAGTTTTTGAAGGCGTGATGGTGGGCACATGGAAAAAAATCATGCGGGAAGCTTTTACACAAAAAAAACATATCATATATATATATATCCATATATAATCATATATACTCACATATTCAGACTTTCTAGTCTTTGCATTATACCAGACAAACAAAATCCAGAAACGTCAGAGCAACACTTATTTTGTTCAGTTCACATCTGATGGTAACACGTTCCACCAACCTCAAGTGACTCCACGGCCAAGGCGCACCTCGCGAACCTTGCTGCTTTGGTTCTTGATACGATGCGCCTGGAACAGCTGCGGTGGAAAGACACGAGTCTCTGTTCATTGTCTTTTTGTTTAATTTAAGTGGTAAAAGACATCAAAACACAACTATACTATTGATTGGGATTGGCTGAGGTACCCCATCTGACAACAATGGGGTCTCTGGTTGGTGGTTGAATTGTGCACCGCGCAAAGATTATGGAAGAGATACATGTGTTCACCATGTTCATGGGCTCCAAAATGGGAGGACTATCCTTTCAAACCCCCCAAACCCCCATTGAAACAACACAAAATAACTGCACTGTTGAGTGGTTCAGCATTCAGAATGAGTCACAAGCCATTTCCAGTTCCAAAGTGGGACTACTGGGTGCCGTCATTTTTCAGCCAAGATCACCAGGGTCCACCTGGCAAGTCTCCACACCACCCACCTCGTCGAGCACGAGCACGGACCAGTAGTGCCGTTGGAAGAAATCCTGGACGGATCAGCAAGCAACAGATGTTGCATGGAAGGATAGCATCCACACGCCACATGCCATGAAGGCTATGAGTTTCTAGATATCCATGCATATGTTTTCTTGTGTCTTAAGAGTGCAAAATCATAAATTTTGATGTCATTAGTTGTATCTTTGAGTGGATAATTCTTCATAGGATGGTTAAAGCTAATCAAGTCTCCTTCGACAACAAAGTGATGAAAAGGGAAAAGTGATGAGAACTTTTGGGGGGTTCAGGCTACAAACGTGTTTGCACACCAGGTCCAAACAAATGAAAACAAATGAAATCTGAATCGATTTCCGTATCAAACGTTTCCACAAAATGATCAAATGGAACTATGAAGCAAAAGAAAATCCCCAACTAGATCAGTGTGGAAAACTTACCTCCGTTTGCGCCGCATCTTGGAAACAAATCCTTACAAATCTGCCGATGACCCTCCGCTCCTCAGTGCTCATCAAGGTTTCGTAGGTCGTGATGATCACATCCTGCAATGGCTCGATTCTTTCGACAAGAATTTCCTAAGGTGTTTGGGATTCAGAAAATCAAGCACTGTTTAGGATGGGGTGAATAAAATGTTACATGACCACATGAAGGGTGTTTCTTCATTGAACATGAAGGTGATACCGTAGATCTCTGTATTGGCATCAGCATCATGGATTGAATTCAACGATCTAAACGTGAAATGAAGGTTAGGAGTGGGGAAATTATCAACAAGTTGTAACAGTTGTTCTTTTCCAGTTGTCAGGCCACTGTTGCTTGCCTAGAAATAACAACATCAAAAATCGGTCCTTCATGCCATACCAAATCTCGTTGTCATCCAAGCTGCGCTGCCTCTCCTTCACTGTGCCACACACCTGGATGCGGCTGCAGGGAGGTGGCCCATGGGATGTGTTTAGTTCAGTGTGGGTTTTCGAAGATGGCTGTACTGGTATTAAAAACTCTCAAAAGTTAGTTGAGAATATATACTTACTTGTCTGCTGGAGATTGTTAAGATTGCTTTGAAACAGAACCGTACAAATAAGATCAAATGAGACGTGCAGGCATTGGCGAACGGCAATCGAATCAGGACATCTATAATAGAAAATAACAGAAAGCTGGAAGCTGTATTTCACAATGACAATTTCAATTTGGAAACTTTAAATTATATATACTGTTGATTCCGCCAAAGTGCCTAAGAAAAGTTGGTTTCGGTCGGGTGACGATCTAAGGTCCTCGAGTCCTCGAGCTTTCTGTTTTAAACAATCCCATGTCAAGGTACGGGATTTTGACCCATGCCCGCTTTACACGGCAAAAGGACCGCTTCAATTGTACTTCTGCATCGCCAATGTCACATTGACACCCTGCCTTCGCAATGGACAGGTGTGGCACAAATCGTTTTGCCTTGCCAGAGCGTGACATGAACATATAAGGCGAGTACCAAACAATACAGTCTGGCCTGAATAAGACTAAAATATATACTAAAATAATCTAAAATAAGAATTCACAAGGGATGGTGGGCCGTACAATCTTGAATCAGGCGAAATCATAGATCTTGCAGTCCTTCAACAACACTCAGTCGCATCTTCGTTGTCCATCTCCTTATCTTGCCCTTACCCAAAAGACGGGCCAAAAAAAACATAGACAGGCAAAATAGCTATCCTGATAGACTCGGTCTACTTGGGCTCTGGCACTACAGTTTTTCCAGCCCATGGCTCTTTCGACTCATCAAGTCAAAGGTCAGGCTCTCCATGAAAAAACAACAGGCTCATCATTGCCGATCCCATTGTTGTACCGAAGTCTGCTGTTAAATCACGGAGTTCGAGCCTCCCGGTCACGTTTCAATGCGTCAAGATCGACTACACGCCACTTCTCTCCGGCAGCGTCTCCGGGCATTGACTCAGCAGAAGGTGTCAATTTGAATTCGTAACCACCTGCGTGGTGACCTTTTCCGAGCACACATCTTGAAATGTTCCCCGGGTGCACACCCAAGTTCCTAGCAGCACTCTTTATGGATGGATGCAGTTCCCAATTGTCATTGCTCCCGCGAAGCCGGCTGCAAATCGGTTTCAGCCCACCAGCACGGACGACTGCAGCATTGGCATAGAAATGCGCCAAGTTTTCTGCGTGGGAGACCCACTCCAAATTGTCGGCGCGATTGTTGCTCTTGTCCAAGTCTTTATGATTGACCTTGACTCTGCAATCGCTTTCTGGCGGCTCCAGAAATGCCAGCGCCACCAAACGATGGACGGGAACCTGCACCCTACCTAAAGCAGTCAAAACTGTGGTGTTGTAGTAGCCGTCTAGTGCCAAGCACCCTCTGCCGATGACCCCGCGTTGGGAAGTCACACGCCCCAAAGAACTGACCGTCCTGCCAGCGACGGGTGTGGCTGCTGTGGGGCCAAGCATGGGGCGCCACTCTTCGCCCGGCAAGACAGGCACACTCGCTTCTTGAAAGCGAAACTCGAACCCCTTGACCGAGGCTTGCCTGCTGCAAGCCCTGGAAACAGTGCTCCTGTGGAGATCCAGCTGTTGTGCAGCTTCTTTCACGGATCCGCAAGCAATCCATGCTTCTGACCCAAGCTGCCTCCAAGCTACAGGTTTTGATGACGCCTTCCCTCCGTTCTTCCTTGTTCCACGTGCGTATGAATGCAACATGTTCTGACTCTGAGTGACATATTCTAGATTGTCCAATCGATTGTTTGCTTTGTCAGCATCCTTGTGATGTACTTGCCAAGTCAACCCATCGGGCGGTGGGCCCTGGAAAGCAAGTATGACAAGGCGATGAACTGGCCAGTTGCTGGCTGCAATTTTTACAAATCTGTACCCACTAGGATTAAGGAATCCTGGTGTAATGATGCCCCTCGAACTGCAACACCGGCCGAAAGAGCTCACTTGCCAAGCTCTCAAACTTTGCAGAGGCTGGCTGGAGAAGTTTCTGAGCACAAGCTGAACAAAGGACCGCTGCTCAAAGTAGGCAAGACGCCAAGGTAGCAGCAGCATTGAAGTACAGAAAAATCCATCCAACGATCCGAGGTGAAAAAAACAGAAAGACAAACAGGCCACACTATGCCACACTACTGGATGGAAATCAGGTTATGCTCCTAGCAAAGCAGAATTGATGGCAATGGCTGCAAAATGAGACCCTACTGAACCAGCCACATTTCACATCGTCTGGAGAAAGGAAAAGCTGCCAGTATTGGTCATTGGTAGGGGCCACAACCTGAAGAACACAGATGTTGCCAACTGTGACCAAGTTTGCAATGTAATGCAAGTGCAGGGGCCGCTGAAGTTATCTATCTCTTTAGGATATTCAACCAATGTGATCCAATATGCAGTTATGTCAGCTTGACATGTAAATTGTAAATCGAATATTGTTTCGCAGAACCTTGTCCGTGGCATGCATCTATCGATCTACACCCTGCAATCGCATACATACTTGGAGTCCAAGTTACCCCGCATGCCAGATGGCAATCCGTCCATTTAAGAACTCGAATCCTCGAACATGAACGTGGCAGGTGAACATGTAGTTAGTTGTTTTGTTCTGATGCTGACCTTCACATTCATTTGCTTGGACCTATAACTTGTTGGAATGTGATCCCCACCAGAAGCTGTCATCTGTCAATGTCCGCTATTGTCTGCTCAAACGAGGCATGCAACAGCTCTACTTCGTTTCCTACACATAAACAGCTTACACTTAACCACGGGCTTCCTGAAGTAACAAACCCGAAGATTGGATCTCAACCAACAAAAATTGTTGATTCACCCTTAAGAGCATCAGCTTGGTAGTTCAAGACCATCTTAGAATAATTTGTCAGCAGACTCAGCAGAACAAACTTCACTGTACCAATTGCGGGAAGCTGGAGAATGCCCCTCTGTCTGTCTGCATACTTGGACTCCTTACTTGGACCCTCGGAACACAAAACCTTTCGTAGGTAACAACCACATGTGTGGGTCTGTGGAAAAGTGAGACACCTGGAATCAAATTGTTGTGAACCGGGGCTGTGTCAAACTCAAAATGTGCGCCAAATGGACCGTAGAAATACTACCGGAGCTGAATCAAAGGGCAAATATGGATGAAGATGGTTTCTAGCACAAGCTTCTGAAGCTTTTTCTCTAGAAATGGCAAAATAGCAACGAATAAAGTAGCTAATTCTGAGGGAAAATTCACAAATCCTAGTGGACCGACTGCATTCGACCTTTGGGAATACGTCAAATCCCTGGTACCCTTGCTGATCATAATGGTCTTTGCAAGAACTTCCATCAACCCAATTTGGAAAGTACTATAGTATTCACCTTTAAGGTAAAGCATATATTCAAATACTATAGATGTGCTGGTGCCCACTCCTACTGCAACCACATGGAGAAGCCCTATTTGGACCAATTGTCAATGAATATCAATCCAATGTCTTCATACCCCCTTTAGAAAAAGAAAACACACAAAAACTATCAAAGGCTTGAAACCAAACCATCAAGTCTTCGATCTTGTTCCTGCAACTTTTGTGGCACGGGAAATTCTCATCAAAGGTGGAGCCTTTGCCACCATTTTGCTGAACACCCCCGAGGGTTTCAATGGCTCCTTCCAGGTCTTCCAGGAAGAAATGTCAGCGCCAGGTCCAGTGCCTAAGAATGGCATCTGAAAAATCGTCACCGACGGCACTGTCTGTGTTGTTGGAGTGCCAAGATGTCAACGTCCCGCCACTCTTCGCCAGGAATTGGATGGGACTCGGTCAGATCTGCAAAGCGACATTCGTAGTCCCCTACTCGCTTTGCTTTGCCGTGTGCACATTGTGAAATGCAACCAGGGCTCAATCCAAGTGCATCTGCGGCGCTTTTTATAGAAGGGTGCCGTCTCCATGGCTCATCAACGCCATACGCTTTAATCCAAACAGGTTTCAATCCATTCGTTCTCACCCAGGATGAAAGGGCATGGAAGTGAGTTGCGTTTTCTGCCGGTGTCAGGTACTCAAGATTCTCAGCAGCATTGTTGCCCTTATCCAGGTCCTTGTGGTTGACATGAACGCAACATCCTGCCTCCGGTAGTCCAATAAACGCTGCTGCGACCAGGCGATGTACATGGATCGTGCGTTTCTGGCCATTGACAGTTACACCAGTCTGGTGGTAGCCCATTTTGTTCAGGTGACCTGTGCTGATGATTCCGAGCTTTGAAGAAATGCGACCCAGAGAACTCACCATCCTTCCGCAGACTTCAGCACCTGATGTCGGGTCAAGCATCGGTCGCCACTCTTCTCCAGGATTGCATGGTTTGGTTGATTCGTAATATCTGAATATGTAGCCTTTGGCTGGTGAGTTCGTTCTGCAAGACTTCAATACTGTGCTCTGAGCAACTCCAAGCTGGCGAGCTGCTTCCGCGATGGAAGGGTGCCATGTCAAATCTTCAGACGCAGCTGGTCGACTAGTCACAGGCTTTGAGCGAGCAGAAGCATTGTTTTTTCGCAAAGGGCTGGCATGGCAGTACAGAATATTTTGCCTGGGTGTAACATATTCCAAGTTGTTGAGACAATTGTTTGACTTTTCACCGTCCACGTGATGGACCTGCCATGCTTGCTCACAGGGTGGAGGCCCATTAAAAGTGATCGCAACAATACGATGGACAAACCACTGTCGTCCCTGAATGAAGGCAAGTCTATATCCAGATGGATGAAGACAACCATAACTCACGGTTCCAAAGGAACTGCACACCCGTCCAAGGGAACTCACGCGCCATGTCTTGCCGCTATTTTGTACAGCTCGCGTGGAGAAGCCTCGAAACACCCTGGGCAAAAGGCCATGCAGGTGTACAGCAAGCATGAGATTGTGATATTGGTCAGACCTCTTCTTCTCTGAGCCTCACAATCCCAAACGCCATTCTCTGAACAATTAGATGAGCCTCTGCCCCAAGAAGGCACGAATCCTTTCAATACTGTATATATCTGCCCCAGTTCTCAATGGACTTGAACCATCAACCAAAAAGATAGGTTCAAAGAAAAATCAAACAAACAATAAATATAATGGTTTGCCATGGTTTGCCATGGTTTGCCATGGTTTGCCAATCAAAACCATCTCAAAACCATGAATTTTGATCAAGTTTGTAGCCCCAAGCTGGTGTCCATCCTTTCAGCCATCCATTCCCCACACAGCCGTAGAGGCCTCACGGGCCCAGTTCCCAGCACAGCTCAAAGGAACCACCACCAGCGCCGGTCCGCGCGCAGCGCCCGACACCTGGCAATGCTAGTTGATAGATGTTGATAGTATGTAATAGTACCCTTCAGGAATCAAAGATGGCTAATTAGTTTGGAAATTTCCCGGGAAAATCATCTGACCTAAATAGTTAAATAGAGATTTTTCCACGGCCAGCTTTGATTGCTGGAGGGTAGTGTTGGTTGCTTGGCAGAATAGAAAGTCAAAATAACCATGTAGTTAAGAGCCAAGTCATTGCTTAATGGCTTTCCTAAGGATAAATTGTAGAATTTGATGGATATTTCCATAACTTGAGCTATTTTGCGTGTGTTAGATATCATTATATACATGGTTGATTGTTTACACATCAAGTTAGAAGGAGTGCTTAGATGGGCCATGGAATTGAAAAACTGGTGATCGTAAGTCTCATAACCCATGAAATCTACCCAGAGGATATGTGAGGTTAGTTCCCGCTTGCTTACCAATTATATAACTAACTCCACGACCCATCTCAGTGGATGTTCCGTCAGTTTCAGCAGGATTTACAATGATGTTTCTCAATCGAATCAAATCTTTCAAAAATGAAATCAACGATGCAAGTTTCTGGCAATCAATCAGCAATCTCAGCAGATCATTACAATTGCCAAATCAGAGATCAAATAATTTTTGGGCGGATCCACCAACCATGTTGAGGTCGGCCAGTGAGGTCGTCACATCATTTGAAAGTCATGAGGTACGCACTTTCTTTGGTTCTCAAAGGTGTTTTTTTTTGCTGTGGATGGATGAGGGATTTTGTGTAGTAACAGTGGCCGCGTCATTCGTGTATGAAGTAGCTACCAAAAGGATTCAATAGGTCACTATGATATGCTGTTATGACATACCGGCATTATAACATCTAAAGGGTCATCCAGAGTCGAATTTCTGAACAAGTAGAGGGCCTTCTGACTGCCCTTACTGGTAGCTGGTGATGATATCACTTCAGGGCAATGGCAGTCCCTGTGCCAATCTAAATCTATAGCTGAGCATATTCCCAATCTTCAATCAACTGAATCCGTTGGTAACCCGCTTTGAATATCTTTGCTCAAATAATCTATATAGAAACTCAAGATTCCATCCCAACAATGCCATCAAAAGTAGTTCGATCATATGCAATAAACGATTGGATGTTTAATCGAGCATCTTGAGCCCACAGTCTTACAATGTGACACTCAGAAATCAGAACAAGCAAGCTGTAGTGCTGTGGTTGTTATATTCATAGATTCTTGGACACATCTGACATAGCCCCCCACATAAACACAACTAATTAATCCGACCAACAAATATGTGTTTACATCTGGTTATCTGTGTAACATGCTGCAACACCAACCCATAGAGGTTTCATCTCAAAATGTCAGAGATGTAGACTGGCAAAATTTCACAGCAGTTCTTCCTAGCACCGGCATCACCAGCCCCTCACAGGCCGGTGCAACTCGCAGGTAGCTCAGGAACGCCAGCGTCTGCAGGGTCTTCCTGAGATGGCCAGATCGGTATAGGGTTAAAACCCACGGTTTTTTACCGTGGAATCCCCTATCCAAATAGCTGGGCTTTGTGGATGTTTATGCCCTTTTAATACCCCAACATATGGTATTTAAGCTTTTCAGTGGTTGACGTATATTTAGAATTATTTAGAATCACGAAATGTGTCATAGGAAGATGATAAATCTGGATGGTCATGCAATTTTGATGATCAAACATAAAGAAATTTCGAAGGGATAATTTCTTTAAAAAGAGCTAGATGGATGGAGCCCCACCGCCAAAAAAAAAAATGGCAGCTATATATGTCTGCAATTCTCGACAACAGAGGGCTGTACATGGAGTGGTCAAAAAAAATGAAACCCCAAAATAAAACAAAATTTCCATTCATTTCTATTAATTACTATATATAGTAGGGAAAATAATGATATATTATATATTATATCACTAAAGCTTGGGATACCTACTGATTCATTGCAAATTGTCGTGAAAATTTCCTCAGTAGTACAGTCGTAATCTTCTTGACACCTGAACCGCCCACCTTTCAACAACTCACGATGGACTTGTGCGACCGGGACACCCCAAGCCCATGTCATCCGCCAGAATCCCACCACATCGATTGTAGAAACCTCGGCCAGCCGGTCATGCCTAGCTCTTTCATCCCCATTACGGCTGTGGTCGCGAACCATGAAACCTCAAGTGGGTGTTTAACCAAGAAAGGACCAAAAGACGAGCCGGTTTGTTTCTGGACCAGTTGTTTGGTTTGCAAACAAACATAATGGAACGTGATACAAGACTCCAGCGATAGGGACTTCCAATCACAAATCTCTATACCAAAATCAACCACAACTGATTGGTTTACAACCTGCGGTCCAAAAAGGGAAATGGGAATTGGCACCCACCTGTATCCATCTCTCTATGCCTCTGAGGTGCTTTGAATCAACCAATTCACGCCAGTCTTCTGGTACTCCTGATGCGGGTTGTCACACGCTGGTGAGGTGAGATCCGGTCCTTCGGCAATACAGTGACTTACTTAATTGGTAATTAAACTCATCTGTAATGATTTATATAGGAATATGGCAATGGTTAACTCTTTCTTTTTCCGTCCGCCTTATGGTAATGTTAATTGGAAATACTCCTTCTTTTCAAATGGGAAACTCATCTGCATGTAAATGGATATCATTTTTGGGGGGAAATTGAACTGCAAGTTTAGATTACCAGAGGGTGACCAAACAAAAAGCCTTACAAAGCAACAGTTACATCTGCAATTGATTGCAAAACAAGAAGCAGCAAATACAAAACTCCATCAACATGTCATCTATGGTGATAATGCACACAAATGATATACAGTATATTGTGTACACATCCTACGCATATCCCATGTATAACTCGGCAATTTGACTCCATCAATCTCCTTCCCAGCATCACATCACCCAGCTTTCACCACAACGCCACGCTGCCACGCTTCCTTGAGATGTGTTGTCTCGGAGACCACGGCTTTGCGCGCAAAGTTCAAGAAGTCTGGCACTTCCCCTGCATGCAGCCGTGGATCTTGGGTGGCATATGGTGCCACTGGAATATCCAACAATCATAGCTTAGATATCCAAGGAAAAAATGACAAATTGTGTTTCAGCTGGCTGGTGGGTAAAATCATAATCCCCATTTGTGGGAGAAGGTTAAGGCATTAGACTATCAATCCAAGATTTACCCAGATCCCTTCGATCCACCAGTGGCATGGGAAGTGTATGGGGAAGCTTGTTCTCATACCCTCCAAATTAGTTGTACCGACTAAATCCCAAAAGTGGGGATGTATCAAAACCTCTTGTACCATATCATATCATCTCAGAGGATGAACAACCATTTACCAACTTACCAACTATTCAACACTATCTAACTGCCATATTTCTGTTCTAAAAACTGCCAGATTTCTCTTCTAAAAACCAGGCTATATATCCTTTAATCGTTTCTAGCTCCACAAGTGGGCCAGGTCACCTGCTCTGTGTCCTGGATGATAGGACAGGAGCCACTTCTCTTCCTTCAACTCCTGGCACGGGCAAGCGCCGATATGGCTGTCCCGATATGGCTCGATATGGAGTGAAGTTGGGGTACCAAAATCTGGGAAAAACACGGTGTTAGAAGTGTTTGGGTATATGTTTTGGGTATCAAAATCAGAAATATATTTGGATATCTATAGTTGCAATCGCACAACCCCACACCATGGACAAACATACGTCAAGTATTTCTGGGAAAAACTAAACATACAACGGAATTTGATGACTTCGCATTGCATCCTCCGAATAGATTGTTTTCTGCAGGCTTGGGGGATGCGGCAAGCAATTGGTCAATGGTAAGAAAAAATCACAGCACCAACCAAGTATTAAGAACATACTTCCCAATGATTTCCAGTATTATGAGGTACAGGATGTACAAGTGCATATCTCAACCTGTTTTGTTCGTTTTGCCAGATTTTTTAAGGATGATTTTCCTGCTACCGTGGCTACCATTGACAGCGTACAACATGCCCAAACATCACAGTCTAAAATCTCAATCTCATTTGCCTCTAGAGTGGAACCAGCAAAAAGCAACCATTGCAACCATTGCAACCATCGCAACCATTCGCAACCCCTCCTGGGTGCGGGATTCCAAATCCGCCACCAGGTAAACTCGGACAGGGCATTGGGGTGCTGACCATGTGCTATGGCCCTGCAAGTTAAAGCTACTTTTCTTGGGAAAAAATGAGATTCTAAACCATACGATGGAATGGGGGGTTACCCAAGTTTCAGACAAACCCAGATAGTTTTGGGGCTGACTTGGCATACAAGTTCCAATCATTCACCGAATTGGAATGGATCCCAAAAATCCAGTCGGAAAGGGACATCTATGGTCACGGCGGTGAGTTCCAAGCTCCAAGGCAAAATGGGTTCTGAGTCAAGCGTTCACTTTTGGGATGCTGAAGGAGTACAAAATATAAGAGCTACACTACGGGAAAACTACGGTTTTTCTATTTCGGTCAGTAACTCAATGGTCTGAATATAATGCAAGACATCCGGAAGCAATCTTGCATGGAACCATTTGAAATGTGGATCAGGAGTGAAACCTAGTCCAACTTAATTTACCAAATGTCAAATTAAATCAAAACAATCCCATGAAGAAGAAAACGTTGCATTGATGCACATCGACAACCTCGAAACACCCTGGGTTTCAGCACGATTCGTATTCGCCTGTGCAAGAATGATGGCCTTAGCCGCAAACACGGCACAGGCAGCAGGTATGACTTGGTGAAAAAGGTGGGGTTTGACATGAACATGAGACTGAGCACTTCTCAAAACCAATTGGAAAGGGGGTTCCACCCTCCTATTCAGCATGGTTTAACATGGTTTTTCACAATATCCAACCACGGTTATATTGGGGATGTGCTGATCAAACAAGGTGAAGTGGCTCTACTGGTTGGTTGATAGCGGTTCCCAGGATATGACAAAATATCTCCCGATCGGATCTCCTTGCCATCAAACCACACTGCAAGTTCGCTTCATTCTGTGCCAAAAACCGGACAATCTGCATATATATATATATATAACATATATATATATATATATAATCTTTGGCTACTGCAGATTTCCAGTATTATAATCTACCCCCCAACATACCAATATAGAAATAGTATAACTTATAACTTATAACATTTAAAAACTTACAACATCTTACAACCCCCCTGAATATCTTCATCAACCAGTTTTTCTGAAACTGCTCAACTGGCAATCCAGAAACCACTCGGCTCCCAGCTATCGATTGAGTGTCTGAAAATGGTGGATTCACCGCCCAAATAACGATGGGGAAAACTCAGATAATCACGATCAATCTATATATAGTGATTATGTAGTGACTATATATAGTGATTTATTATGGGTATATAATTCAGTGACTATCTATATACAATTATGGGGTAAAGTATGTATATATATATATGTACATAATAATCACTGAATTTTGGGGTACATCATTTTTGGACAACGCCAGATGGAACAAGAAAAAGAATTGCAACAAAACCAGAGACCGGTGGTTTCAACTGTAGCCACTTCTCAGTCACGGGCAAGTCTGAAAAAACAATCCCAAGTGGACCGCTTGGCGCTGGCTCAAAAACATGAAATGTATGGAAGTGTAGCTGTGGTCATCTTTAATATCAACACCGGATTAATATATATATATAAACAATTAAGTATTAATTGGGAGGGCTCCCTCCAAAAAATCGTGACAACTTACTTATCAAACTTGCTACCCCCTACCAACAATCCATAATTCTATATAGGTCATAGTAACAAAAGTCCCAGCCCTACTAGTAATTTGGTGGTTGATTAATCCCAGGTCATCTTTTTTCCGTGCCCCCGGGCGTCATAGAAGGCCATCCCGGTGTCCACCTGGAAATCCCGTGAGTTCAACCCTGCTGGAGGCGCTCCTTAGCTCCCCCTTTAAAGGGCTAGAAATGGGTACCCCTGGCTCCTTAGCTCCCAACCAACACCCAACACCCAGTATTTCTATGTCTAAAACCTGGGTTTGTTTATAGTTTATCTTAACTGTCCCTATGAAAACATGGTAGGTATTGCTCATTTTCTAAAAAATTGCTTGTGTTTATCATAATTCTCCCATATTGTCCATGCTAGGTATACATAGGTATAGCAGATTTTCAGACACACCCATGTTTATCCATGTTTCATATTGGGCAAAGTGGAAAAAGTATGAAAAAGCCACCATTAAAATACCACAATTGTCTGGTTCGAAAGGAGGTATCTAAGTAGATCGTCCACATGCTCTTGTGTGTCTGCTCACACTGGAATAATCAAGGAACTATAAGGAACCATTACATGGCAATATCCATTATAACTCCCCCACAAAGATACCGAAAAGTGTTGGCAGGTCAGTTTGATGATGTTTCCGGAACGTTTTTAAACAGGTGTCCATGTCGTCAGTCCATGCGGGTTGGAATGATGGGGAATGATGGGGAATGTCCCATGCACAACCAAAGACATTGCTTGAGGTTTACACCAACATCTGCACCTCAAAATCTGGGTGCCCTCCGACCCACATATGGCATTTCCATGCATTTCCTCTACGTCCTGTCTCACTGCAAGAAAAAAGCACAACATGCTGTAGCCAAGAAGTTGCCAACAAAAATGTGATATGCAACTACTGTAAGCGCAATGGGGCAAAGTACAACAAATATAACTATTGGCCTTGGAACTCCTCAATGCAGATATATCCCATAGAGAGTCAGAGACGTGGCAGTGCTACTTGGCATTTTGAACACTACGTACAAACAGCGGTTCCCCCTACTGACCATCACATCTACACGGACTTTTCTATGGCCACATTCATCCTCTCTCCACAGTAGGCTGCTGGTGCCATCGTATGATACTAGGGATGGAAGAAATCCACCAGTTGGTAGATGGTTTATCCCAGTGTAATCCCATTCTTTACAGTGTTTCATAGTTATCAAATGTTACCAATAGTTACCAACTGGTGCAGGATTTCTTCCATCCACAGTAGGATAGCGAAGCTAAAATCATGAAAGATAGCCCAAACTTGGCCAGTTGATTTTACCTCAAAACTGTTGTCTATTTTTGGCTATGTTCCATGATTCTAGGCCCAAAGGTCATCCAAATCATCCACCTTTTCCCCACCTGAACGATGGTTCCCACCTCCAACGGCCTTCGGCCCTCGGATGACGGGTGTTACCGGTGTTACCCTCCGGTGTCGAAGATTTAACTGATTTAAGCCATGAAACATGGGAATCTGACCTTTAACAGATGGTTTAACCACTACAAACACGGGATTTCACGATTTAACCATAAATATGGGTTTTAACCACTAAAAAAATTGGGATGTCAATGATAAAATAATGTCAAAGATTGGTTTGTCTGAAACTGTTGGGAGAACACGAAAGGCATTTCCCCTATCAAAAAATGCCAAGACACACAACCAATGACTTTGAATTGTAGTATATATTAATTGTGCAAAATCTTGACAGATTCCGTAAATCTCAGATGTTTGGAGCTTGTCTAGATTGCATGTCAGAGTACATATTTCAGAAGATTAAATGAATAAATCTCAGCCCATACTTCATAGATTTATATGTGTTGGTTTTGTCTAGAGAAGAACTATTAAACTGACAGAAGAGTTGATCCCATGAACTGCCATTCACCCAAACTTCCCCCCATGATTTTGGCATGATTTTGGCAGAATCATCCCATATCCCCAACGGACGTTGCGGAGTTGCAGTGCCTCCTTCATCTTGAGAATTCTGGTTTGGGCACGCCTCACAGCATGGCGGAGACAACGATTACCCCAGGGCAGCAGGGCAGTTTTTTCGCCATCTCTTCGGACAATTCTCAATTCCCAGTGTGTTTGAATCAGTTTGAATCAGTTTGATAAATTTTGATATGTTGTAATTGAATCCAACTCCACTCCAAAATCTACCCTCTGGTAATTTCTTACATAGCTAAAGAGAACATGGCCCAGTCGAAATCCTTGATTTTCCCATCAAAAATGGTGGTTTTCCATAGTTTTTTGTATGTTTAGAGGGTACTTGTCTCAGAGTCCATTGAAAAATGCCCAACAAACCCAGTCGAATCCGCAGCTCCTCACCTTGAAGCGAAGGGTAACACCTCCAGCAGATGCGACAAGAGGAAAGAGTCACGTTGCCGCACCGCCATTTGCCCCATCCTCTGGCTATCGGCCAGCAGGTGGTGAGATGTTCTCGTGTTTTAATGGGATTTCATAAGTGATTTAATGTGATATTAAGGGGATATTAGTGGGATATTAATGGGGATATTAATGGGACAAATGAAGGTTTCATGGGATATTATGGGATATTAATAGGACAAAGGGAGGTTTCATGGGATGTTAATGAGATATTAATGGGACCAATGGAGGTTTCATGGGATGTTAATGAGATATTAATGGGACCAATGGAGGTGTCATGGGATATTCATGGGATATACCCTCTGGTCATCAAGCATGGCTTGCTGCAGAATGCATCATTTAGTTCTTTTTTTTCCCATTGAAAACCCAGTTCATATAGTGTGTATATATATATATATATATGTAGGATGTTCCAGCTTGCCATGTTTGATTACCAGGTAAAGCCATGGTTCTTTGCCATGTGATTTCATGGTAAAATGACGTGGGCATTGGGACACCAGCATCCATGCCATGGCGGTTGCTGACATGGAATGGCGCAAGGGCACAGAGCGAATGCAGCTGTGAGGACCAGTTCTGGTTTCTAAACTCCATGAATTTGTTTGATTCTTCTCTTTGCAGATGTTGGTGTACCCAGTTCCAACACCCAAGTGGTGCTCAAAATTCAAGAAGCAAAGGACGCAAACAAAAAAATCGCTCAACATTTGGCCTTACCATTCCAGCAAACCTTGCAGCAAACCATTTTTGACCAATAAGCTGATGAATATTCATCTGGTTGGTGGTTTCAACCCCTCTGAAAAATATTATATAGTCAATTGGGATCATTATTCCCAATATACGGAAAAATAAAAAATGTTCTAAACCACCAACCAGTCATAGATTCATAGATTCATAGATCCCTTTGTTGGTTGGCTATAAAGCCAAAGCTTGCGTTGGTCAACTCCCCAGTGTTTGTATCGAATTTCCACCTTCTTGCTGGAAGTTTCAAAGACCCGAAACCAGAAACCACTCCTATCAGAAAGCGATAGAGGTTGGGTCGTTTCATATCTCAACCCTTATGTTTGTCATATAAACACATATAAACTCTGATGAACATACCATGGAACTTATGTTGCATCAATCCTAAAACATCTGAATGATTGAATATACCACAATATGACATGTGCTTGGAAAATCATTCATTATGGTTGGACTCAACACACCCTTCAAATCATACTATATATCTGTTTTGTTAGTCTAGCAACCGTTGAACCCCCAAAATCGATGCCGATTTTGGTGGCGACACCTGGAAATATGATATCTAAATATCTAAACACCAAACATCATCTACATATAACAAGCTCGTGGCACATGTGTCTATCTTTTTTGGGAGTTTCCTACACGTACCCTCTGGCAATTTGTTACATAGCTATTGAAAATGGATGAAAATGGCCCATTGAAATAGTGGATTTTCCCAGCTATAAATGATGGTTTTCCATCGTTTTTTGTATGTTTACCAGAGGGTAAATTCCAATGCCACCCGTTCTGTACAGCGAAAATCCCATCCGCCGGCATCTGCGGCATCTCCTCTTGCTGACCTGTAGGGCTTCCATCATTCTGGCCTTGGTGTTACGAATGGTGCCCCCCAAATGGCGATGGTTCTGGTCCTGGTTAATACTATATATATATATATTATAGAATGTATATATTATATAGAATGTATATATTATAATATTCTATATTTATATATTCTATATTTATATATTCTATAATAAGAATAATAACAAATATGATATGATGATGAACATATTCTGATATGCCTATCATTTGAACATATAGAATGATATATCATATTTTACATTGTCTTATTATCCTGATATGTATTAACAAAGACAGCGATGATCTTACATGTGTATATATATATACATAACATTACATAACTATACGTAATGATGATAGGAATGTTAAATGGTGAAAGATAGGAATGTCAGATAGTGCAAATTTATTTCATTGCCAAACGGCTATCTGGTTGGGTGCTTTTAACCCACCACCCATCCCTTTCGTACGGTTGAAAAACAATGAATATTCGAAACCCCAATCAGCTATGTCTATACGGATGATAATGATTAAGCATATTCTTTGTGGACTACCTTAATTTTCGTACAAACCTACATTGGTGATTCGAAGTGCTTCGGTTGAAGTGGCCTTAAACCCTTGATGAATGATGATCCCTTATGATCCGCATCCATGCCTGTTTTGCTAGTAATCATTGAGCCCCACTAAAGAGTATAGGAGCCAACGGTTCCAACACGAAACCCAAAGATGGCCAGAAATCAATGCAATACTGAAATCATCTCCCCATTTTAGCAGATATGGGGATCGGTCAAAGCATCTCAAAACCTATTATTACCATATTATCTGGTTGGTGGTTGACCTACACCTCTGAAAAATATGAGTTCGTCAGTTGGGATGATTAATTAACTTCCCAATATATGGAAAAATACAAGTCATGTTCCAAACCACCAACCTGTTATGTTTTAGTCGGGGGGTTACCAGGCTTTTGACCCATAGCCGGCCACTACCCATCATCGTTTTCTCCACGCAATCAGCGAGTTTTCAGGTCGAAAAGTTCGGAAGATGAGGTGCACGAGCGCGCCCTGCGGTGTCAGACGTAGCTGGGAAATCGCTGAACCAAATGAAGGTAGTTGTGGCTGGGAAAATCATCGATGATGAATAGTGACAGTGAATAATTTGATATAATTAGGGGATATTAGGGGATTTTCCAGCACGCCACGTGAATGCAATATGAGAGGGGATTATTAACCAACAATTTATGGTATTTGGGCTGTTGAAAAAAAAGAGCTGGAGTACACCTCCGAAATTCAACAGTTTGTTGCTGGTACAACCTTTCCTTGCTCTCAATTGAGATACACGTCATTTTCCGAATCAACATTTAAAAAGTAACCATTTAAAAAGCAACAGTCAGTGAGTCTATGTTCGAATTCAAACAAGAATTGGTGTTTGATTTAAAAAAACAATGTGTCATAGTCAAACCTTAACATTGATTTGATTTAAATTCTCAGTTTTGTTGTTTAAAAACAAATTCTTGGTTGGGTAACTAAAGACCATGTCATTTGCTTCAAGATGGCGCCAAAAAGAATATATTCTGCACATGGTGGTTTTACCAATAATAGAAAAAAAAGCCTTCAGAAAATCTAAGATTTTGAACCCAAATAGTTTGGAAATTCGATACATTGACCTCACAATATCTCTCAATTATACTTATTTCATAACCAGAAAACCATAGCAACCCTAGTAATAATCATAACTTAGTCAAAAACCAACTCAATTAGTTAAGCCACTAAAAACCCAACTCGATTAATTGCCCATGTGCTTCGATAATTTACCATGATGCATCTCAGGAAAAAAAATGCAATTTTCCACAGTAAACTGTTAATTTGATCCCCCCCATCAACTATAGTCATCCATAATCCCAACAAGTTTGAACCAAAATTGCATCAACTTTGCGATGATTTGGGAGCATCACCTTCTACAGTATCCCATCCCAAATCCCAAATCAATGCCACAAAAAATCATCTTCTTTCCATATTAAATGCCATTGAATCCATATCAAATCTCAATGATTCCACATGAATTCCCAACCAAAATTCACTAAAGTCCACAATGTCCATCAAAATCCCAGCAAAAGCACCCTGAAATCCCTGAAATCCCAGCTATAACCCCTCCATTTATCTCCATTTATATGTAATTTCCCATGAAATCACCATGAAATACCATGAAATACAATTATATCCCATTAAAATCACGATGAAATCCCATTATATCCCATGAAATCACCATTGAAATCCCATCAAATCACTGTAAAATCACTATAAAATCACTATAAAATCACTATAAAACCACTATAAAACCACTATAAAATCACCTAAAATCACCTAAAATCACCAGGAAAATCCCAGAATCCCAGCGACCGTGTCGCCTCACCGCGGCGCCGAGAAGACCCGCGCCGCCGCGGACGCGGCGGCGCTCGGCGGCCGCGTGTCCACCGGGGAGGTGCTGCGGCCGCGGGACGCGAGGGGCTCCAGGTGGTCCAGCTTCATGAGGCCTTGGGAATGGGATGGGATGGATACCCTCTGGTAATTTGTTACATAACTATTGAAAATCACCATTTTTAATGGGAAAATCCACTATAACTGGCCATTTTCAATAGGGAAGTTAAATTACCATGGATTGGTTTAAGGGAAAATCGAAACCGGAAACCATAGATTTTTCCCAGTAAATATGGGGTTTTCCTGTAATTTGTCCCTTAAACCAATCCATTGACCTTGGGAATGGGATGGGATGGATAGTGATGAAACAGATAATGATGGGATATGAAGATGATTGAAGATGGGAATCATCTATCCAAGATGATCATCCAATATGATATCCTTGAGATTTTGATGGATTCATCTATTTAATATGATAATGATGATAATGGTAAGATCTCAATCTTCATATGGGATTGATGAATATCCCAATTACTGTACAGAAATATGGTATTTCGATGAGTTGGTTGTATCATGTCATATTACTATTGATCACGAAGCAATTTTCGATCAATGACTAATGACATAATAATATCTTATCATATACTGTTGATTGATATACTGGGAATATACTGATTCAGGATATATATATATGCATATAGGGGGAGTAATATTATGGAGGGATATATTGTAGAATGGTTACCCAACTAAATCTGATCATCTATGTGATCATCTATCGTCATATGCTGAAATCGGATGGGGATGTGTTGTGTTGGGTCTATATATGATAGAATGATGGGGATAAACCCTGGGAATATAACTACATTATACTTAAAATAATTGATATAACTTAGTGATAGCTATATCATTGTTGTATCAGACAATGATACATATTGATAAACTGGGAATCTGATGGGGGGTAGATAAAATGTTTCCAGGGAAATAATGAATTGAATTTACCTTAACCAACAACAACAGGTTTTCCTTTTTTCGCTAAGTACAGTAGATGATGGGCAAAAGTTGATATCCAGCAATGCTTTGCAACAGCAAGCTGGTGATTTCGCCAACTAAATATGGTCATATTATACTGGGAATATGATGGTAATATAATATATCATGTATACGATGATCATAAGGATCTTGATGCATTGGAAATTATGATTGATATACAGGAGATACAATGCAAGCATATCCAACAAACACAGGGTTTTAAAAAAAGACTATATTAGGTATTTCCTTAAAAACATGACTGGAGCTTTACATCCATATGATTCACAAACACGGTGGGTTGAGGGAACGGTACGGTGGACTCAAAGATTGATGGAAAGATGATGGTTTGACCTCTGGTAATTTCTTACATAGCCATTTAGATAGATGATTTACCTATTCGCAAGGGTGATTGTCAATAGCAAACTCTTAAGTTAAACCAAATGGTATAACAAATCGGCTGAAGTTGCCTTGCGAAAAAATCATCTGGCTCAACCTGTGCATAGCCTTGCAACAACTGATGCATGACTTGTTCGAAAAATCCAGCTGCTAAGAACTATTGCGTCACCAAGACCTTTGTCACAATCAACTACGGCAACTGAGGCGGAATGCTGCTTCAACCAAGCTATGGCTTTCCGATCCAACCACGTGCCAAGGCCGCCCTATGGTTTGCCAAATGCCTCTGGAACTCGAAGCAACGCAGTGATCAACGCAGGTGAACTCCTTTGAGCGGGGACCTCTGTACATCAGGAGTCTAACCAGTGCTGAAAGGATCGATCATGGCAACGTTTTGAGCAAATTTGACAAAAACCCTCCGGTAATTTGTTATACAACTACTGAAGACGCGGCCCATTTAGTTCAATGCTTTCCCTAGCCATAAAATTCCAAAATTTTCTGATTTTCCATAACACACGAATCGCCATGAATCCCAATAAAATCCCATGGAAATCCAACAATTTCCATCTTCAATCCCATGAAATATTCAACCCCATCATTCAATCCACCATGAAATTCCAACATTTCCCATACGAAATCCCATCTAAATCACCACTAATGTGGCTAAAACAATGTCATAAACCACAAATGGCTGGGAATGGTTTATACAATTTTATACATGTTTATACTATGCCACCTATAAAAAGTTATAAAAATGCTGATGACTGGGGAATGGTTGTTGTTTTACCCACCCAAAATCATCGCTCCAAGGGGCTCAGAAGCTCCTTCTGTCGCGTCCATGCCTCGTCCCCGAGAGTGTTGGCGCGACCTCAGTGACAGGGCCTGGTGGTTGGTTGGTTATAGGGGATTATACTAAGATACACCGGTTGTAGGGAATATAAATGGAATATATCTATATTATAAATGAAATATACCTATATACCTGTACTATATATGAGATATACCTATATTAGTTGTTTAAGCAACAGAAATATTCAAATGACCTACATAACATATAATGGCAGTATAATCTATGGCTGGTTTGTTGATTGTATCTGGAGCTATGTTTTTTCGAAATGATGGTTGATGATTCTTGTTGATGGCTGTAGGGAATAGAACGGAGTATATACCTATATTATAAATGGGATATACATCATAAATGTTTTTAAGCATCAGACATATTCGAATGTACCTATAAATTAAAATAATGCTTGATTGATTTTCCATAGCAAGTGCTGACAATTGCAACAACAGTGAAAAAGAAAACACCCGGTGGAAGGCTGCTGGAAAACGCTCACAAAATCATGGCCCGGAAAGTCATTCCTGCTCCAAAACAGTGTTGGTTTCACTCTGATCTTTGATAGTGTCTATTACGATTCACACTATTTTTGGAGGTAAATCCAAAATTCTGCTGAAATCCGTACTCTTGCTGTATACTTACTTGGGGATGCAGTTCCACTTAGTATATGGCTATATATATATATACTGTAATTATATATAGCCATCATAGATCCATCATAGTTAATTATATATAACATTCCATAACCATAGTTGTGGGGGGTTGCATCATGTTATATCCCAACTGATGGAGCTTGAAATGTGCCATGCTTATCCCGTTATCGCAAGGTGACTCTCCATGTCGTCGCGGGCATCTTGAAGAATTCGAGGTTTGGTGTCCTGACGAAACTCGTCGAAAGGGGCGCAGTGGTGCAGAATCATTGGGGGATCCTTGGAGAAAGACTGAGAAAGACATGTTACCGTCTGGTAATTTGACATAGCGATGGAATATGGATGAAACATGGATGAAAATTGGACCTCTTATTGATTGATTGACCCAGCCATAAACGGATAATTTTTGCAGAGCAAGCTGTTCAATTCCCAGAGGGTACCTCGCAGTTGTTGGTGAGATTCCAACTTGGAAAGATTCTGTTGGGCAGTTAAAAATCGGTTGATTACAACGTATAATCTTTTCGCATTTTTGATGGGGCTATTTACAAAGCAAACATGTTTTGTTGGGGACAGGGATCCAGGACTAGCCCCAGCTGTCCAACCAATTCGATGAATTCCAACAAAAATTGGACTGTAAATCAACTTAGCTATTGGTAATATATATATATACTTGGAAAGCCACAATCCCATTTTTCCCCATGATGACCAGAAAATGTTGCGTTTTCGGCTTTCCAGGTATATATATATATATAAATCCACCTGGTTTCTTGGTGAAATCCATGATTTGAGCTGGTGAAATCTTGATCGTGGCACTGGACTTGGCTGGAAATCATCGGACGGCAATGGTTATTCCAACGAGCAAGGACCAAAAATGTCATGGGGATCCCAGTTATTGAGGAAATTTGGACCAGTAACATTCATCATTCATATAGAAATTGATGTTACTGGTCCTGATATTCCATGAAATGAATGAAATGAATGATATTCGGAAATAGATGGGTCCCAAAAATATCAGGACCAGTAACACCAATTCCATCTATTCATTCTTCCATGATAGCAAACATGATGAATATTCAAAGGGCCTGGTGATTCCCCATCCCCTGCACTTTTCATCCCAATCCCCTTTCATATGCAACCCCATGAATTGTCGGCCCAAATATGTGGTTTCAGCCCCTACTAAACCATGGTTTGTGATGTTTTTTTTTCAAATTAGGAGGAAGGGATTAATCATTTGGAATCCACGATGTAGAATATGTTAAAACACGTTACTACGTGTAAAATAGCGTGTTATAACATGTTATAACTTGTTGCTACATACAAGTATCTATAGTTCATGGTTAAATCGCCATTAAAGAACTATAACCATCAACCAATCATCATTTCTCATGCTTCCATATATTCCCCTTTTGATAATATTCATACATATTCATAGCCTCATAGCCTATAATCCCCTACATTGGTTAGTAAATCTATAAATATCATTAAATATCTATAGTTCACGGTTAAATCTCCATTAAATAACTATAATGTGGGTAAAACAATGTCATAAACCATCCCCAAAATCACCATAAACCACGGTGGTAGAAATAAACATGTCCAAATGGGGGGTTTATTATTGTTTTATATAATATTAACATATATTAACCACATTGAATCACATGGGTATGGATCAATACCTATTAATACCATTTTTAGTGGGTTATTCACATCCATAAATCCCAGCTATGACTTGGGGTTCACTAGGGGTACCAGGGTTTTGACCCATAGCCACATGAATCACCAACCAAACCGGTACGGTACACCCAACTCCCCGCAGTTCCCCCAACGACTCCCAGGCTCCTGCACCAGACCCATGGCCAGCAACGGGGGTCCCAGGATCGAATCCAGGACCTACGACGAAATGACGGACGGGTGGGTGGTGGTAGATTACCTTACCCTCTGGTTATGTCAAAATAGCTATTGAAAATGGCCATTGAAATAGTTGATTTAGCCATTAAAAATGGTGATTTTCCATAGTTACGTTAGTTTACCAGAGGGTAAATGGTGTGTAAATGGTAAATCAATGGTAAATCAATGGTTAAGGGATGTTAAGGGTTAAGAATGGGAAATGGTGAATGATAATGATAAGAATGGATAAGAATGGATAAAAATAACCAATAACTGATACGAATAAGTAATATGATGCTTAATCAACGATTGACGTACCTTAATAAGTGCTACTGTACTTACTGTTGATTGTTGATTACTGCAATCATCATGGTTAACAAATGGTAAATTGTTAATAATGGTTCACAATTCAAAACATAGCTAATTATGGCTAATTAATTGTAGCTTATGAGAAAAATGTTATATTTGTCAATCGTACATACTAATGATGATAACGGATGATCAATGTCGATTGTCAATTATTGTTAATTGTGATAATTTTTCTGAGAATGGTTAAGAAGTGATGTATTGTCATTGTGATTACCCTAGGATAAACAAAAAAATATGGAAACCCATGGGGAACCCTGGGAAAAGGATCTACAAATGGTGGGTGTTCCACATGAAGGTAACACCTGCTGTCCAACTGCTCAAAAACCCTGAGGTACCATTGTTTGATCACCTGTTCGTTGCGATTTTTTCTCCGTCTTGGTGATCTTTTAAAGTTGAAATAGAACCGGGTTGGTGGTTGAGCCTACCCCTCTGAAAAATGATGGAGTGCGTCAGTTGGGATGATTTTCCATTCCCAATATGATGGGAAAGTCATAATCCAGTCATGTTCCAGTCACCACCAACCAGGAATACAAGTGGCAACAAATTGGAGTTTACCATGATGCTTGATTCTACGTGTTGAATCCTACGTGTTGAATGACTAAAAAACCCTCAGATTTCCCATCATCAACTCTTGGAGTTTACCCAGGTGTCCCCCCGCAGCTGTCTACCGTAAAAAACAAGAATCTGTCCGTCGAACGTTACAGAAAAACCTTCAATTCCCAGGTTTGAGGGGTTCAAATTGTTGCAGTCAGAAGTTTCTTCACATGTCTTGCTGATCAAAATATGTGTTTTTTTTTTGCTGGTCAAATATTGTGTTTTTCTCACTTACTCCACCACTTCACTTGCTCAATTCCCTATCTTTCTTATTCAAGTCCGTCACCATTTTTCTTCATTAAAACCCAATGTTTCGTGGTACTTTCTCTCATGTTGTTGTCTGCAAAATCCCCACAGTTTCGCGTTGACTACATCTCTATGTTTGTTGGTTGTAGACTATAGAGAAAACTACCCACAAAACGCCAATGTTCATCACTTCTTGTGGCTAAATAACGTTATATAAATACCAATGTTGGCTAAACAAATCCGCCATGTATGGATATTGAACTGGCATTTAGCCATAAGAAGTAATGATTCCATGTGCTCTACCCCTCTGGTGATGATTTAGCCGTCGAGGTACCGGTCGCAGGTCGCAGAAGAGACCCAACTCGCTCTCCTTGGCCAACATCCCCAGGGTCCATATCACCCCCAGGGTCCCTCTGGTGATTTAACATAGCTATGGGAAGATGGCTATTAAAGATAGATTACCAGAGGAAATTTAAACATGGCTATTTTTGCAGATTTAAACATAGCTATCTATGGAAATTTAACCAAGAAAATGCTGATTTTTCCAAAGGTTTATGGAAAATTACCAGAGGGAATATGTATTCAATTGGTTTATAATTCAATAAGTAGTAGACAGCATGGGTAGTGTTCAAAACCCCGATTGAATTGATTGGTTGAGAACAGGATTCCCCCCCAAAAAAATATTCAGTTTACAATCTAATAACTAGGGTTTATGGTAGAATATGGTAGATATATCATGATATTATACATATATATATATATATCGTTAATGGGCTTCAAAACCCTAATGGATTGGTTAGTACAATCCCCTTTAACTAAACATCAACCGGGCTTTTGAGCACTCCTCACAGGTTTGCTTAAATAAATATAATATATATATATATACCCTCTGGTTATTTAACCTAGCCATGGACAATGGCCCTTTTTTAAAATGGTGTTTACCTATCAAAAATGGGGATTTTCTATGGCTACGTTAAATAACCATAGTGTTTCTGCAAGGTGGGCCCCCTAGATCCTTGATCGCCAAGGACCGGTGCGTTTATGGAGGCCATGGATGGCGCCCGTGTATTTCGAGCATCATGCGTCACATTTGGGTTTCTCTGAAAATATGCTACCCTCTGGTAAACTAACATAGCTATTGAAAATGGCCAGTTATAGTGGATTTTCCCATTAAAAATGGTGATTTTCCATAGTTATGTTAGTTTACCAGAGGGTACATCTAAAAGCCATTCTATAGTATTCTTGAATGTAGTATTCTATAATATTCTTCACGATGGGCATTTAATTGTGATGGATACCCCGGTTTTGGACGAACTCATCCATTGCCCACCATCTTCCTCGCTGTGAGTTCTGGTCAGCATTTCCTTTGATTTTTTGGGTCTGGCTCTCCCTCAACAACCAGAGCCGATCCTCATCTTGCAAATTGTGCACAACATGCATGAGTCGCCTTTTCTTCTGCATCGGAAGTGTCGCCGTCTTGCGTATTTCCTTCCACTTTTTTTGCTGCTGCTTCTTGGCCTTGAGGTGTGTCATCACTCTGCGGCGTCGAGGGCAAGCTTATGCTTTGGCGGCTGGCGAAGCATCCGTGAGTGCAACTCCACGACAATAAGAGATCCAAGAATGACAGTCCATTCTCACACACACCCAGTGTGTAATCCCAATAATACCCACTATAACTATCCAAATGCAAACTGGGATGAATGTGCAAGTAGGCTTACTCCACGTACTTAGATCACTTTTCCCATAGCAAGCCATAATTAGCTAATGCCCATGGCGTTTTTTGGGCGAAATCCACCATTTTGGAACAACATTAAAAAAAGGTGATTCGGTGATTGTCCATGAAATCTCCCATGGACCATTTCCCTCTACAGATGAGTTTCTCTTCTAAAATCGTCAAAAATCATCAGAGAATCATCTAAAGCGCCAAAAATAAATACTCTAATATGTTTCAGATCCAACTCCCTATGAAATATATATATATATGTGTCCAAGTGCGTAGATTACCAAGAATTCCAGAATTCCAACATCTATGTAAAAACCCATGGGAAACCCAGCTGTCCATCCAGGCCACGTGCTGCTTCTCAATGACCTGCTGCAGGCGTCGCTGGTTCTGCGGCAGACGTAGCAGCCAGGTGAGTTTCAGCTGCACCCGCTGCAACTCCTGCGATGCGATGCGATGCGATATGGGGATAGCGATGGGTCGATATTTATGCTACATCTTGGGATTTCAAATGTCATTAAATGATATAATATATGTGTATACATATGTATATATATGATTATATGATATTATATGATATGATATGTCAGTATTGGAATATATCATTGGATCATCATAAGATATGCAAAAACGGTATAAAAAACTTGAAATCCATTGACTTCGATGAAAAAAGGCCTTGAGATTCTAACCTAACATATTCTAATAATGCAATGTGCAAATCACCAGTAAATGGATGACCCATTGGGATCCCATATTAGTGTATATATACATATATGGAACATATGGGTAGCCACTATATGTGGCTTAAACTCAGTGATACTCCCATGAAATAACCATTATTCACCATAATATATATATATAATTATATATATAATCACTATCATTGGCCATAGAATCACTATCATTGGCTATTAATATCACATAAGATCTCATCATACACTCGAATTCACCACTTTTATTCCCATTATCCCATGATATTCCCATAAAATAACCATCATCCAACCACGAAAAATCCCACCCCACCGGTTTCCCGGGGACTTGCCGCGGCCTCCGTGGTCATCTTCTCCCAGGGCGACTCCTTGCGGCGCCCGGCCGACAGCGAGCGGTTGCGGCGGCCCAGCGGCGTGCCGCTGCGCACGCGCTGCTCGGCGCGCTTCACCTGTCAGCCGTGGGATGGGATGGGTGGTGAATGGTTGTTAATAACCAATGGTTACATTAGTAAGGTTAGTAAGATTGGTAAGGTTAGTGAGATTGGTAAGATTGGTAAGATTGGTAAGGTTAGTGAGATTGGTAAGATTGGTAAGGTTAGTAATATAATTAGTTATGGTGGTGAATGGTTAATGGTAAGGTTAAATGTAACTAAGCAGAGTTTTCAGGATTTTAGGGTTTAGGGTTTTAGGGTTTGGGGTTCGTCGTCTGGTAAATACCAAAACACTGGCCCTGCGCAGGTTTTTGAGCATGTCGAAGGATAATATTTGAACTCCATTCTAACCTGGCGGGCAAACCACAGGGTCTTGCCGTATTGTATGATTAGCTCTGGCAAAAAATTGATCCATCTTCTGCAAACAAATCCCCCAATGCTTATGACTGTTACATATGTCCACATGAAATGCGTGTTTTTGTTGGGTGAATAAAAATCCTTCACAACGCTGTTTTTTTTTCCAAGGTTTGGGGAAACTCGGGTTTTTGGAAGCAACACCAACAATAGTAGATATGATATTTTCCCGATCCAATAAGATGATGTGGTGAAATAGCCTGGTTCAAAAATTCAGCTTTTCTCCATGGTTTACCCTCTGGTAAACGTTAACAAAAAACTATGGAAAGATCCACCATTTTTCATGGGTAAATCCACTATTTCTATGGCCATTTTCAATAGCAAACTGTTAAATCACCAGAGGGTATATTCCATATCCCATTAATATCCCATTAATATCCCATTAAATCACTATCAAATCCCATTAAATCAGAGGGTAATCCCTTCGCCCTAGCAGATCTACCTTTTCGAAACCGACCGACCAATCGTTTCAACACAGAAAGGGTGGAACGGGTTGGATCTACGGTACATGACTTGGGGGGCTCAAAGGTGTCACAACCATCAGGAAAACCAGGTGGTTTCAACCTACCCCATCACCATGCTTAATATATGGTTATTATATGCGGTTAATGATGGTTAAGAATAATCGTTAATCATAAAATATTCACCATGACTGACTTTGGCATAGTTTGATATATTTTGGTCCAAACATATCCCAAAAACTGCGTGTGGTTTGGTCTGGCGCCCCACCTTGGTCTTCTCGTACAAATATTGTCGCCAACTCCGCACCCACTCGGTGATGCTGTCGTCGCTCCCGCGCTCCTGAAAAAAGAACCGAGTCGTGGTACAAGTACGTCGGTGTTCAGTCGTGGGATGTTAAAAGAAAATGATCTGGTGAACAAAAACCCGGAAATCGACTTACTAGAACTCAAGCTGATGAAATTAATGCAAATTTAGATGAGACTTCATTGATTTCATGATACTTCTGGATATTTCATTGATATTTTCTGGATTTACCCTCTGGTAAAGTAACATAACTATGGAAAATCACCATTTTTAATGGGAAAATCAACTATAAATGGCAATTTTCAATAGCTATGTTAAATTACCAGAGTGTACCACAAAACAAATCAGCCAACTCCCCACATCATCCCCCCCGGCTCCGTCGTGACGCGTCCACCGCCCTTCCGCGTGCCATCGCCCGCGGGGGGCGAGACGCGGCGGGAGCCGCTGCCGCCGCTGCCGTCGCGGGTCTCGGAGGTGTTGCTGGTGGACTCGCTCTCCGAGTGGCTACCTGCGGATCCATGGGGAGTTTCACCAATGGTCACCCCCCCCAAAAAAAAAAACAGAAAATCACCATGAATCATTATATTACTCATCATTAACCATCATTAATCACCATTACTCATCATTAACCGTCATTAATCACCATTAATCATGATTAACCATCATTAATCACCATTAATCATGATTAATCATAATGAATCAATATAATATTTTAACCATATGGTGAGGTATGGTATGGTAATGCCACAGCAACTGCAAAGGTCCCTAGTGATGGCTTGCTGCAAGTAAACCCTGATACTGCTGAGCACTGATAGGACCAAAGGAATATCCTTCTCTGCGGTTCAGTCCAGGGGGAAGCGCGGAGCCAAGGCCATCCAATCCACAATGAGCTGCTGTCAGATCTGCGTTCGGAATACGGAGCTCTTCCTCGTACACATCAAAGTCAGGAGTGATTATAATGTAAGTGTCACCCACGAGGTGTAGGCCAACAAGTCCTGTGTGAATGCGGGGGGTCCTCCCCATAATTTACAAGATCAGCCTCACTCAAGACCATCACTGCTCAAGTTGAAGCGGTATGCTGCCAAAGATTCCCTTTTTGCTCTTGCCCTTTGATTGTGTGAAGACCCAGAAGAAGTGGGGATGCAAATGAAAGACAGGTGATAAGAATCAGAATCACGAGAGCCCCAAATCCAACCAACGCCGAGGGTTTCCTACCAATGACTTGAGAAACCGGCGATGTTCGCCGATCCTTCATCTCAGGCAACCTGTTGCTGAACATCTATGTGCAAAAAAAAATGGAAAATAGCTTGGAATACTGGATGAAAGTAAAGTAGCGCCAAAGCTTTAAACTGAGGTTTAGTGCAGAGCCAGTTGCTATAAGATTTTCACAAATGTGACTAGTTCACCCAGTGATAAAACCCAGTTGCTGCGCTTGTGTCACTGTTTGGCAGATTGGTGGGTGGTTAGGAAGTGGCTTACAAGCCGCATTAACCCGCTATAAACTATACTATATCTATAATTTGCTATTTCATGGTATAGGTTTAATAGTTTTTTCAAGCCTGATACACATCTTATAACTAACCCACTTGGTACATGTATCGGGCTCCCCCTGACGATACGTCCAGGCTGACAATCCCTTGGGTCCCAAGAAGTCGATCTGAAAAAATCTTGTGTTTTTTCGGAAGCGAGGAACCACCAATGATATGATGATATTCATAATAATAACAATAGTATAATATATATATAATGAATATTAATATATCATATCATTAATAGTAATATTAATATTAATATTGGATGATTCATATTAATAGTTGGAGGATATATGAGGATATTATTAATAATATATATATATCCTCCAACTATTAATAATACCCTCTGGTAAACTAACAGTTTGCTATTGAAAATGGCCATGGAAATAGTTGATTTAGCCATTAAAAATGGTGGTTTTCCATATAGTTGTGTTAGCTTACCAGAGGGTAAACTCTGGTATTTGAACACATCCGATGACCAAATTCTAGATGATTTACCTCTAATTTCCATTGCTATTGTTCAATGGCTATGTTACCAAAGGATAACCCATTGCACCTCAGGTACTTCATGGTATTACCATGTATTACCTTACCTACAAATGGTATAGCTAATCCTGACTCGGTTATCATCATTACTAATTATAATTATATACTAATACCATGCGCGGTAATCAATACAACTACTGTATAATTAGTTTATAATTACAGAACTACAAAAAATGTTTATGATAATCATCATGCACAGGTCACTCAATTGCCCAATAACCACCCAATGGTATAATTGCCATTATATGTAGTAATCCGCAAGTCAAGATAGAAATTCATGGCAATTCCCACTCAAATCAGGGATAAATCGTTGATAGGTTAAGTCTCAGTGAAATCAGTAATGATACCATTTTCTATCTTGCCTTAGGTTGATATTACCAATTACATCCAATTGCCAATGGTATCATTAGCCATCCCACTTATTGGGTATGGGTATATACGGTATATAGTCATACCCACCACTGGTATTTCACCAATATTTCACTATTGGTGGGTATTCAACCAATATTTCACCAATATTACCCACTGTATCTAACCATCATCCAACCATCATCTAACTGGCTAAAGGCCATCATATTTCACTAACCTGAATCTTAAGGCCATATGGGTATGGATCAATACCTATTAATACCATTTTTAGTGGGTTATTCACATCCATTTTAACCCAGCTATTTTGATGTGAACAGAAGGGGTACAAGGTTTTGACACACTGCCATGTATCATTTACTTGTTCTTAGTAGGGAATTTTCGGGAATGATCCACTGGCTAACCATCAATTTCATCATCCCAGCAACCCCCATAGTTAAGGCCATATTGGGATAATCATTCACTATTAATGGGAAAATCCACTATTAATGGTCATTTTCAATAGCAAACTGTTAAATTACCAGAGGGTAATTCCCCAAACAAAACTCACCATGATTCCGCTCGGATCACCACCTTCAGCCGCCCCGGTGATGCCACGGTCTTTGTCCAACTTTTCGGTGAGCTCCTGGATCCAACGGCCGACGGCCAGGATCTGGTGAGTCCACCGAAATTAAAATTGCTGTGGTGATAAGCATGACATAACAGGTGAAATAACAGGTGAAATGTGGTGAAATGTGGTGAAATGTGGTGAAATGTATGGTGAAATGTGGTGAAATGTGTGGTGAAATTGGGTGAAATTGGTGTTTTAAGATGATTATAATCGTCAAATTCATGAGAATTATAGGATGATTCAATGAGGATTTCACCATCTTTCACCATCGATCTTCGAGGGAAACCACAGGTTTTCCGCATCGAAATCTGAGGCTTTGGAGCTTGGGATCTGGTCGCCCAGGATGTGCCGGAGCTAAAAAAAACCTTGGGGGGATCATCCCAGTTGCATTGTTTTTTTGGTAACGATACTGGTCAATTCACTAAGTTGTATATCATTGACGTGTCTAAGTTGTATATTATTGATATATATATATATACATAAATATATATATATATATGTGAGATGAACCAAAGGATGAGGGATGATGAGAGACTTGTTGACTAGGCTTATTAATGCGTTGATCATCAAATTTTCGTCCAAAGACATCCATGATTTTTCGCCGATAGAAGCCTTGTTGCTCATCACAATCCCATTTATCTCCTTTAGATCCCACTCTATCCCAACCCATTAGATGTCCATTAATTCGTTCCCTCATTGCTTGGAGGATCATCCATCACCCACAAACACAAACCAGCTCCCGTGATTGAAGTGGATACGTCTCACGATAGTTCTAGGAGACCCATGTTTTGTACTGTGGAAAAACCCAATGCCAAATGCCATACCATTTGGGGATGCTCAAAATCCACCCCGTTTATGAGTTATGTTGGTGATAGTTTATTACTTTTATGAGTGGGTTCGCCACAATCACTATAGTTCGTAACTGCCTTCCAGTTCCAGTTGTAAACGAATATTCCTAACCATAGTTATAGGGGCCCGATGTTCCAACTTTGGGATGTTAGTAACTGAGTCATTAAAAATATCCCCTATCCCCTCTCAATTTACAAGTTGGTTGATAGGTTTCCCTGCTATGAGTGTTCATAATTCCCAATCAATTTGCGAGTATAAGTCCCAACAAATTAACCAATCAACCATATTTTCCATGGTTGAACTATTTAATTAGTAGCCACTGTCCAACTTCAGGATGATACGATACTAACCGTGGCTGGTAACTATAGATAGTATAAGATTTAGTAACTACATACATGGAAGAAATCCTGCACCAGTTGATAGATGGGTTACTCCATCATTTATAGGGTTTCAACCATCCGTTTGGTGGTGTAGGATTTCACAACCATCCACAGCATTTAGTAACTACATAGTTACTACAGTTAGTAACTATGGTTAGAAATACTGCAATGGTTACTAACCATAGTTACTAAATGGATGGTAAGTAATATCCATAATATCCACAGCTAGTACCATCTGGTAAACTAACATAACTATGGAAAATCACCAGTTTTAATGGGTAAATCCACTATAAATCACCATTTTCAATAGCTATGTTTGTTTACCAGAGGGTAACTATGGTTAGGAACTGCAATGATTCTCCAAAAGCGACCCCCCAACAATTCGACACGCCCTGAAGGCCTTGACGGTGGGTAGGTCCAACATCAATGTGGCGGGCAAGGTCTTTCCCAGGGCGCGGCCCAGCCTGCAGCTTGATCTGGACGGTCCAGTACTGGACCGTAGAGTTAGAGCAGGATATCATGTGTGTATCTATATATATATATATATTGGAGTATATCATTATATATATATATATATGTATGCCACCGTTGCATGCATTTCCACTGCCAGAAGGGTCACTGAATGCTCTGCCTCGCGTTTTGCGAGCACCGGAGACTGATCAGCTTCACTTGAGAGCTAACGCCAGCATAGCCGCACCCACCCCGTTTAACGGGATGGGTGGGAGGGTAGCTTGAGCGGTGGTGGTTGCGGCGTATTCCAATCACTCCACTTTGCCAAACCTGTCATTGACCTATATGCCACCGTTGCATGTATTTCCACTGCCAGAAGGGTCACTGAATGCTCTGCCTCGCGTTTTGCGAGCACCGGAGACTGATCAGCCTCACTTGAGAGCTAACGCCAGCATAGCCGCACCCGGTTTTGCACCCAAGTTTGCACTCAACGGGTGCCTCCTGGAGTATCCGCTTACAAGTAAATCATGAATCCCTCTGCAATTGCTGCTAAATCAGTGTTGTAAAAAAATTGAGCCAACTTTCTGCACAACACCAAAGGGTATGGTTCAGCGACCTTTGTCATCCACATACCTGACGGGTGCTGACCCATCAGTGGGATATGTGGACAGCCAGTATGTGCACAAATGCCCCGCTTTGTACCAACACAAGAATAAGGTCGAAGAAGAGAGAGATCCAAGTGTATACCCAGAAACTTAGTGGGTTTCTTCCAAGCAGTACCAAAAGCACAAAAAGTAATATCAACTGTATCAATGGCACGTCGACGCATGATGTTCTGCACACCAGGACACAACCAGAGACGACTGTTTCGGGGATTCTCCAGTGTAAATGATATATGCAGTTGTAAGGCTAGGAGCAAAACTCGGCATGAAAAACGCATCAACCGGTTCCCCTGGGTAACTTTCAGCTGGTCACCTGGTCTCAAGTCTGGAAGTCCAAGAGGCTGCTGGTCTGACCGAAGTCTTGGCGGTCCCCCAGGGCGATCACGTGCCCGGGAGAAGCTATGACAAGGCGTGCCCAAATGACCTGCTCGCACCTCTCCAGACATAATCCAGTGTATGATTTCGTTTTGGTTACTAGAATCCAACAAGTCATACATAGCGCCAAAATTAATATCCCACAAGAGAACCGGCCACCCGCACTTGCGGTGTATTGCTCTGCCCAAGCGACCACATCCACGGAAAATTTCAAGAAAAACTGAAACTTTGAGACTCCGCGTAGGATCTAAAGCTTTCCAGACAAGACTTGCACGACGTCCTTTCTTGCTCGCACGGCCTTGTCTCTTGTTGCTTTGCTGAGACTGCCAAAGAGCTGCGCCAGTCTTGAACCCTTCTCGTAATTCTTGACACTTTTCAACGTCTGCCATCGCCCTCTGCTCTGTATCGATGCCAGTGTGCGCAGCTTCAAGGCTGCCTCGTAGCTGGCACCTCCGTGGCGCAACCTGTATGCGTGAGGCTTTCCCAGCGGCTTGAGGCCCAGAGGCTCCCAGTTGCTTTCCATGAACTGGTTCACGTCCTCCAGGCTGATTGTAAATGCTTTGTCTGCACCTGCCCTGTTCTTGAGGTCCAGAATTTGTTCCAGAGCTGGTCCCAAGAACTTCATGTGTTTCAGGTCTATACTCAGCATTTCGTCCCACTGTTTCGTCTTGGACGGAATCCCCTCTTCCGAGGGGTGCAGCAGTATTGAGAAGTGCTTGTATGCTTTGCCGGCTCGCTTGACTGGGAACACAATGTCACAATGTCTTGGACCCGCATGGTGAAGGCCTCGCCTGGCCTCAGGTACAACAAAAACATCAGTTGCAGCACCACGCAAATCTCTAGTTTGTGCTCCTTGTAGGCCTGCATGCTCAGCAGACACACTACTTCGTAGGGGATTGGCAATTGTGCTCTCGGTGGGCACAATCTTCGCCACCCCCGCATTGACTGCTGTTGTACCAAGGGTAAGGCTGCCCCCTTGGCCCTGGGCATATGATACACTACTGAAGCCACTGCATAGTTCGCAAAACTGAGATCCTCCCCTTCTAGGTAACAATGCTCCAGATAATTTGCAAGCATCGAGTCCAACACCTCCAGCGAAGTATCTACTGCAATTGCATTGTGACTCCACTTTTGCAACATCTCCCAGTGTCTCTGATATTTCTTTTGAGTCAGGTGTCCTACTGAGTTCTTTCTCAGCACTCCTCCTACTTTTCTTGACTGCGCTGCTTTTCTCAACTGGCTTCGCCTCTGCTTCTTGACTGAGCGCTGCTCTGTCAACAGCTCTACCTGCCAGGTGAGAGGAACTTCCCTGAGGGGCGCCTCCCGAGCCTGTTGTGTCGGAAAACACCTCTGTTGGTTCTGCGGGAAATTGTCTCCCCGCCCCCTCTTTTTCTGAGGGCTGCTGCACCAGCTCACTTCCACTCCCAACTGTCGGTGGATCATCAAAACGGCGCTGTGGGTTCGATGGAGCTGTTCCCCCACGGCTCACTGAATCAGCCGGATTCCACTCACTTGGAATCCATCTAGTCCTAACCACCAACCCTGTTGAAAGTGCCAAAGCCGAAAACTGCTCAAGAACACGCCTTAGTTTGTGTGATTGTGCTCTTCCCTTATCATATGCTACTGCCGCCGTCATGCTATCCGTCAACACCAATAACCGTTGCCCAAAGTTTGTGCTGTTCCTCAAAAAATGCTTGACTGCGTACAAAGAGGCCCTGGCTTCTAAAACAGGCATGCTATCTGCTCGCAACCATTTAAAGCGACCAACAACTTGCCAATGACGATCAACTGCCTCAAAACCCACTGTCTTGTAATGCCGTTCAACGTCGTTTGGGGGTGGACTATCTTCATCAACCACAAAGTTTCGCTCATCCTCAACCAACACATACCTCCTAGGATCTTTTGCATTGGCATCCTTGAACCTCCACCTCTCAAGATGTTGACCCCATTGTTTGCTGCAACCAGGTTCGACTTCAGACCTAACAACACCCAAGCCCCACTCTGACGCGTCAACTGCATATACTGTATTGCTCCAACCACTACGCATGTTGTTGAATATTAGAGGACACAAACCATCAAACTTCATGAGCTCCTTCCTCACTGTTTTCCAGATAGGCACGCATTCAAGGTAATGCCGTCTGATGAAGGTGTATACCTCACCAAGCACCGCTAAGGCCTCACGACGGCAAAGTGACACAAAAGTCATATGCCCAATCAAACGTTCCAGCTGTTGTCCAGTCATTCGCCCACGGGAGAGCAACTCCCGGATCGCAATCCTGATCCGCCAGATTCGCTTGTAGGTTGGGCGTAGAACCCCTTTCTCCTCTATCTGCCACCCAAGCATGTTGACGGTTGACTCGCTGAACTCTATCTCATGCACTGTCAAACCTGCTTCCCTCAAACCTCGCACCGCATCCCAAAACTTTTTCTCTACTTCTGTTTTGTCAGTTCCCAACACATGCAAGTTATCTACATACTGCAAATGCCAGAAAGAGCCACCAGGAATTGGAAAACCATCTCGCACTCTATGACATGCTGCCAAACCACTCCGCTCGCATATCCTCTCATTCACACTCTGGCACCACCACAATGCCCAGGCCCAACCCATGGGAACCACCAAGGTCCGTGGGTACACCCAGGTGTCAGGTGCGACAGCCTGGCCATTCACCTCAACCACACCAAGGTGCACAGCTCTGACCCGTCTAAAACCAAAAAAGCGCCGCCACTCTGCCGGCAGCTCCAGTGTATAAAAGGCGTTTGCAAGATCTGCTGATGCCAAATACAGAGTATCAGCTCTGCCCACCTCTAGCTTTCCCAGCGCATCGCCGGTTGCAAGCTCAACGGTGGATGGCTCTGCAAAATGGAGATTCGCCCTGCGGCAGTCCATGATCAGCCTCAGGCGGTTTTGCTTCTTCTTCACAAAAAACAGCCCTACTTCTTCCTCCTGCGGCTCCAAACAAAACTCAGCAAGACCTAAGGAATGCAGTCGGCTAATGAAGGCTCCATATTCTTTGGGGTCGTTCAGCTTGGGGTCATTGTAAATCCGCACATCACCACTAGCTCTCAGCTTGGCATGGACCTCATCCGGACCAAGCATTTGTGATGAAAATTCCTTCACCACTTGTTGCCCGCCTTCACCCCAAAGTTTTTCCAGAGCGACCGGTCGTATCTCTCCAGAAGCCAATGAGACGGACGCGGGATCAAAGGAACCGAGTGGGCACGAAGCTGGCGTCTCTCCGTACCCAACACTCACCCGAAGCTCCTCTAGGGCCTCTGGGCCAGAAAGTTGAGGTGGGCTTCCCAAAGCCGCAACTGACTGCTCAATGAATTCCAGGACTTTTTGCTGACCACTACTGATATCACCTTTCGGAGACATAGGGCCGCCCGTCCCACCATGCATCATGTTCAAAACATTGACTGTACTCTGCACCTCCTCCTGTAGATGCCGCCTTCTGCCAATCCGCTGTCGAACTTTCCTCGACAACTTACCAGCTTCCAGAGATTCAACATGCACGGAGGGCAGTGGGAAAAGTTCCCTATTGACCTGCCTTCCACCTTGTGGCACATGAGGTTCCACGGCCAGCCTTGGGCCTAGGCTGGGCCGCACCTGGACCCTCAGGGGTCCTCCTGCTTGCCCTTCGTCTTTTGGTTTTGGCCTTTTCGCAAGGCCTCCCGCTCCTCTCTGGCCTTCCGCAGACTTTTTGCAAGAGTCGCCTCTCTCTCAGTTTCAGTCCGGACATAGTCCAGCAATTCTGGACAAATCATCAACGTACTGTATTGCCGAGTCATGCCACCGAAGGTTGTCTGCTCCTCCAATGTCAGTCTGCCTCCAACCGCCTTTGACTCTTGTTCACGCGCCTTCTCGGCATAGCTGTATTCAATGGTCTGCAACCTCCTGAACTGCACTTCAACGCTCAAGAGGTTGCACCCATTGAGCTGATCAACCAACAAGGCCTGCCTCAAAGACATTGAAATCTGAAAATGCTCTTGTATGCCCCAGGATGAAGAATCTGCGCGTGTCACCTGCCGCAGTCTCTCGTGGTGACCCTCAAAACCCAATCCCTCAATGGCCAAATAGTTGATGCACCACTTGGACGTCCGAGGACCAGTGAGGGTCCACTTCACCGCTGTTTCAGACAAGGCCGAAGCGGCATCCTTCAGCGTCCTCTCAGGTTGACCCGAAGCATTCATCTCTACGGCCAAGATGCGATGATCACACTTGGCGGGGCGTGACATGAAAACAGTGAAATCTGCTCCATCAACACACTCAACAAAAATAGGGATCCCATTCTCCACATGCACTGCTTTGGCACCACGAGCACTAGCCGCCGTAACCCCAACAACGGGGTCTCCATACCTGTAACCCGCAGCCGTCTCAGCCGCCATCCATTTCAAGACACCGCAGGCATGGGGTGCCGCACCAGCAGGCACAAGGGGCCCAGCGACCGCAAGAAGGGCTGCCACCCCAACTGCTGCCACAGGAACAGCTTGTGCCCGCAGGTGCTCCCGCTGCCTGGCGCTCTTGGAGAGCGACCTGCCTTGCTTCATCTCGAATGGCCTGCACCTCTCCGACATTCCACATGGGCAGCGCATAAATCTCTGCTGCATTCACCCCTGGAGGCACCACCCCAGGAGCGGGTCGCACTCGGATCCCACGCAAATCACTGTTCAGCAAACCCAAGTCTTCACTATATATATCTCTGTCAGGTGTCACAACTATGTATGAATCTCCACCTACATGTTCTAGGGCCCACCTCTCATGCCACAACCTCGGACCTCCTACATCATACTCGACCAGAATGTAGCGATTCACCAATGCCATGTCTCCTCAATCGCAGCTCAGCAAGCTGTCTCTGAGCTAGCTGCCTAGGGCTCGGAGCGCCCTCAACTGTCTCCTGTTTCTTGGATGTCCGGGACGGCAAAATCTTCACTGCCACTACCACAGCTAGCAAAAACACTAACAATAGTAGAGCAATTGACAGCAACCCCTGTTCTCGAAAGCCAGCCTCAGGCTTGGGGCCAACTGCCGGAAAGATAGGTGGTCCCTCAAACCGATGCGTTGTCTTGGTGCTCTCACCACCAGGACTTGGATCAGGATTCACTTGTACCTCCCTATGGTCCGCAGATTTCACCGCCAAATCTAGAAGCCTATCCTCCAAAACTCTCTGTTGGTGATGCTGTAGAACCACAATCCCGGTCAAAGCAATGTGTCCCAAACCAAGTAGATACAATGGCGATATATTCAAGGGGAAACGGCCCTTGGGGATTATAGCTTGAGCGGTGGTGGTTGCGGCGTATTCCAATCACTATATATATCTATTTATGTATTTATTTAATCTAATAAATAACTTCCACTTATTGTTGTACATAATTATTGACAATTGTTATACATAGTTATTGTCATAGTATAGATTTCCCGGGTATCATGGCAGACGTATCCTGTCTGATTAATATATGTCTAACTGTGTATACCAATATATATATATATGAGTTGAATGAAAGAGAGAGATACAAAACAACATCTATAATATAATATAATATATATATATATACATATATATGCACGTATATGCTCATGTATTGCTTAGGGCTAAATGAACCATCTTTCTCATTTAGGACAATCTACCCTCCAGTAAAACCATGTCCCTTCCCAGGGCTTGGTGAATCATTGGGATATCATTGGAATAGCTACCGTTTCAGCCGAGAATCCATAGGAATTATAGATATGGTTGAATGGTTAACACTGGTTAAGAATGGTTAATGATGTGTCAATAATTCCTATATCTATGGTTAATCATCTGGTTAATGATGGTTTGGTTAATACTGGCTAATAATGCTATATATATCTGGTTGGTGGTATACCTACCCCTCTGAAAAATGATGGAGCGAAAGTCAGTTGGGATGATTAATTATTCCCAGCTGAATGGAAAAATAGAATTCATGTCCCAAACCACCAACCAGGTCTCTGTTTGTTAGGTATTGAAGCCTCCAGTTTTGTGAGAATCATTTTGATGTTGAAGATGGAAAAAACATGTTCATAAGGATTGGAAATGATTTCTGAGGTTTAAGTTCAAACACCCCAAACAGAAGTCCGACCTGCAAACATTGGGCTTGGGAAGTATTCACCAGCATTTTGGAATGATCAACGTAACTGGACAGAAATGATGGATAGGTTTAATTGAAATTACCCTAAAGGGCGTACATCTCTTTGAATATACTGTGGTGGATACCATCTGGTTTTTTAACGTAGCCATGGAAAATCACAATGTTTAATAGGTAAACCATCTATAAATGGGCCATTTTCCATGGCTATGTTCAATAACCAGAGGGTAATTATGATAGGTCTGCACAAGCTGAATTCACGCTGATATCTGACAAAAGCGAAGCCTGTCTATTTCACACTGAACACATGATACATGGCCAGTCTTAGAGAACCATCAAACAAACTATACATATTCTAGATGAATAGTCGAAAACCATGTCAAAACACACCCTAAATTCCCCAACTCAACTAAACTTGTATTGGATTTAACGGAACATCAGAAAAACCTTGCTGAAATCATGTCCCTCAAACCTAGATCAACCCTGCGGGGATCGTTGCAGATTTTCTATAGCCAACTCTGGGATTTTTGAACAAAAAAAACCATCCTCCAGTCTCTCCCTCCGTCCATGGCCTGTTTTGGATGACGCCCATGTCGAAGGAATCCAGCCCCGAAGCAAAAAATCCCTGGTCCAAATTCTCCATGTCGATTTCCTCGAGCTCGGCGGAAGAATCCCCACGGATTGGATGGGGAAAAATGATGATTTAAGATGATTTAACGAAGGAAAGTGTGGATTTCACATAATTTCACTAAGGAAAATGTGGATTTTACATGATTTAACTAAGGAACATGCGGATTTCATGGAGAAAAATAGGGATTTTGCCTCTGGATATTTAACAGCTTTCGAACTGGAAAATCACGAGTTGTTGGCAATGGTAAAACGACATCTTTTATCATCAATAAAAAAATGGGAATGAAAAATGATCAAATCAATCACAATGGTGGTATCATGGGGATATGCATATATGATATCATATGATTTATATATATATATATTACTATATTCAATATTATATCTAATAGGCTTAAACAGTGTTAAAACAATCACTGGGTTGCTGCAACACCCAAATACAAGGAGTGTTTTTTTTCACTACATGAAGAGGTAAAATCACCCATTGTCCAGCCTTGTGGGTACTACATAACCAGCATCGTGGAGGATATCCGGGAGTTCCGGGTACCAGCGGCGTTTGCGCTGGCACGCCGCCTCGACTGCGGCGCCGTCCGTCGTCGCAGCGCCGTGGACCGAAGATGCGTGCGATCCACGAAAGAGAAAAGAAAGTAAAGCGCAAGAGCCAGCAGCTCCCGTGGTACACTGCCATCGTAAGCTCGAATGTCTCGACTGAACCAGACGTACTCCATTTCGGCGAAGCCATTGGTTAGCTTACGCATGGTCTTGTGAGGACCATCGTTCAAGATTGAATCTCCTAGAGAGAAAGGCCAACCGCAAGAGTAATGCAAGTCGTTGATTGCACGAATCACCGGCAAGAGTAAGCATTGCCAAGCGAACTGCTCCAATGAACCAATCCCCAAAACGACTCTCGCTTTGCGACGAGGCAAGTCTGAGCGCTGTCCCCTGTTGTAGCAAACATAGCAGGACCTATAGTCCTTGCCATATTTGAGGACATACTTTACAAATCGCTCCATTGTCCTGTCATCCGTTGCGAAGTAAGCCTGACGCTTTGAAGAAAATTAAAGGACCGGATAACCCCACATGTTACCAACTTCTTTAGACTTAGACTGAGCATAGAAAAGCAAGAAGGGAAGAGGAAGTATAAGAGTGATGGAGCGGTGATGGTGGGTGAGTTTGTGTGTGTGTGTATGTATGTTCATGTACAGTGAGTGAGTGAGTGAGTGAGTGAGTGGAGTGGAGTGGAGTGGAGTGGAGTGGAGTGGAGTGGAGTGGAGTGGAGTGGAGTGGAGTGGAGTGGAGTGGAGTGGAGTGAGTGGAGTGAGTGGAGTGAGTGGAGTGAGTGGAGTGAGTGGAGTGAGTGGAGTGAGTGGAGTGAGTGGAGTGAGTGGAGTGAGTGGAGTGAGTGGAGTGAGTGGAGTGAGTGGAGTGAGTGGAGTGAGTGGAGTGAGTGAGGTGAGTGGAGTGAGTGAGGTGAGTGGAGTGAGTGAGGTGAGTGAGTGAGTGAGGTGAGTGAGGTGAGTG